AAGTCCATGCTCTAGAATCTTTGGTCGTTTTTATCATCTTTCTCTGTCTCTCGTCGACCTATCCAATGGCGGATTCCAAGGAGCTTGGCTCGGCGAGCCGGCGAATCTCCGTCGTCACCAACCATCTCATCCCTATTGGATTCAATCCAACTCGTGTTGACTCAGTGGAACTCTGTAGTGCTTCGTCGATGGATGATAGTTTCCATAAGGTTCACGGTGAAGTTCCGACCCACGAAGCCGTTTGGAAAAAAGCTGAGTTCTTTGTTGACGGAGATAATAAGGAGTTTGTTGACATTATTTATGAGAAAGCCCTTGATGAAGGCATTGCAAAGGTTTGTGCTTGTTAAGTGTTTGATGAAATTCATGAGAGAGTTATGTATTTGGTGGAGTGGGTTTTGAATTGCATAGTTTTTTGTTTTTGGAGTTTATATAGATTACTATTAATCGGCCAGAGAGAAGAAATGCGTTCCGGCCTCTGACTGTGAAGGAGCTTATGCGTGCGTTTAATGATGCTAGAGATGACAGCTCTGTAGGAGTCATCATACTCACTGGCAAGGTAAAGTTCTTAGTATTTGGTGTTTCTTTTTCGACAACGGTTAGTAATTAAGTTGATATGTATTCGTTATATGCTCTAAAAATGTAATAGAACCATCTCAAAGCTAATTCGTGAATGTGGATGAACATTGAAGATGGAGTCTAGGAAGAAAAATATGGATTTAGGTTATGTTACTTAAGTCAATATCTAGCTATGAGCTTTGTGTTGAGTCACCGGCAAGGTAAAGTTCTTAGTATTTGGTGTTTCTTTGTCGACAACGGTTAGTAATTAAGTTGATATGTATTCGTTATATGCTCTGAAGCAGTAAAAATGTAATAGAACCATGTCAAAGTTAATTCATGAATGTGGATGAACATTGAAGATGGAGTGTAGGAAGAAAAATATGGATTTAGGTTATGTTACTTAAGTCAGTGTCTAGCTATGAGTTGAGGACAATTGACTAAGAGTTCGATACTATTTTTCTGTTTTTGATATTTGTTAGTGAAACGATTGTTCTGAATAGTGACATTGATGGTTTAGGGAACAAAAGCATTTTGCAGTGGTGGTGATCAGGCGTTAAGAACACAAGACGGTTATGCTGATCCCAATGATGTTGGCCGCCTTAATGTTCTTGATCTTCAGGTATGTCTTTGATCGACAAGACAAAGATAAAAGTGTGGATATCCTTATCCTAATCAGATTCGTGTATTTGCCACTTTCCTTCTCAGATTCAAATCCGCAGATTGCCAAAGCCAGTTATCGCGATGGTAAGAACTTTCAAACAACTGCTAGTTTACTCTATGCATCTTTGTACTGATCTTGGATCGACTAGCTCTGTTACCGTTCATCTATGCCCGTGGGTAGAGAGCATGTATTGTGGCTAATCTCTTTGCTTTTGGACTGAGTCAGGTTGCTGGTTATGCTGTTGGAGGGGGACATATCTTGCACATGGTCTGCGATCTAACAATTGCAGCTGATAATGCTATTTTTGGTCAAACGGGTCCTAAGGTTCTCTCCCTCTAGCCTCTGTTTCATCCTTAAATTCAATGTGTCTGTGTAGTAGGAACCAGAGTTATTACTAATCCCCATTGATCAACTGGATTGGCTTGATGTCTGCAGGTTGGAAGTTTTGATGCTGGTTATGGAAGTTCCATCATGTCTCGTCTGGTAATTGCTCGATATAACTGAATAATTCTGCGATGCAATAGCCAAAATCTTAACAAACATGGGCTGATAATAGGTTGGTCCAAAAAAGGCACGAGAAATGTGGTTTATGACGAGGTTCTACACAGCTTCTGAAGCAGAGAAAATGGGACTTATCAATACAGTTGTACCGGTAAAGTTTACCAGTAGACCCCATACTGTGTCACAGATTCACAAATAAATCATTCTTTTTGTTGGTAATTGTTTTGTTCCTTCACTGATAACTGTTTTCTGTTCCAGCTAGAGATGTTGGAGAAAGAAACTGTGAAATGGTGCAGAGAAATCTTACGGAACAGTCCAACTGCAATCCGAGTGCTTAAGGCAGCACTCAATGCTGTTGACGATGGCCATGCCGGACTTCAGGTACCTCCTTCAACCTGATACGATCCAAATGTTTTAAGCAAAACCTTCCTTTTAACCCAAGCCTCTTTCTAGAGAATTAGGTTAATTGTTGGAGGTTGGTTTCTTATTAATTAATAGAGACCCTTATATAGGTCTTGATACAACTTAATCATAACCCTAATGCATAATTGAAAACACTTTAACATAAAAAAGAAAACCAAATTCATAAATAAAACACCAAAACTAATTAATTAAAACGTCATAACTGTGGCCTAATCAACCTAACCATAGTCACGTATCACAACCAACTTGCTTAGTCTCTTTCCGTTCTAAAGGAACAAAATCCTACAGTCAAAGTCACAAAGTCACTGTAGTAACAGATTTTGATAGGTTCAGTTTTTATGCAACCTACTAGCATGCAGTTAAGGGATTTACAAACTTTTCTTGGTGCAGGGACTCGGTGGCGATGCGACACTCTTATTCTATGGAACCGAAGAAGCTATTGAAGGAAGAACTGCTTATATGCAACGCCGACCACCGGACTTCTCTAAATTTCCCCGGCGACCTTAAACTCACTTCTAGCTCAGTTCAGGTGGTTTCATTACAGCATTTGTCATCATTCCAATCCAAGTCCTTTTTTCATTTGTTTTGTTTTGTTTACCAAACTATGAATAATGATTTTACGAATATAAATTTCAATTCATAAAAACGGGAAACGTTCAACATAAAAAAAACTCAGCATTACCACAAAAAGATTGAAAAACATAAGGAAACACCCAGAGTTCAAGAGGTCAGAAAAGCCTTGCCTCCCAAGGAAAGAAAATTCATCAGAAAAAACCCCTAACTAGTGACAGATACCAGGGTGAGAAACTAACGTTCTCCATAACCAAATTCTGATTTCTAGAGATAAAAAAGATGAAAAATATAATTTTAAAAAAGCATACAAATCCAAAAAGCAATCTTTTGGTTAGTATAATATATATTAATCTTATATATTTTTCAACTTTGTATCACGTTTTCATCAGAAAACCCTAATCAATATTCTGAAACCCTATTCTCTCAATTATGTCTTCCACCCAAACTGATGAAAATCAAGAAACAAACGTAAGTATCATATATCCTTTTATTCATTCATCACCTCATGTGTAACTCTTTGAATATTTTTCATGGCATCGTTTTTTTCTTTTCATTATGTATTGTTTTGCTTTTTGATTGAACATATGTCTTTAGAATATTAACGACCAGTTTGGAATTGATTTGAGTTGGAGCTGTGTTAAAAATCGTTTGGATACCTTAAAGAAATTTTATAATATTTGTAAAGGAAATCCGGGAAATCCGCGAATTCAACTTTATTTGCAGTTTGTCCCATTATTTGATGCAATTTTTGTGTTAAAGCAGATGCATAAAGTATTATCTTGTTGCAAAATTTCTTTATTTTTGAATAATTATTTAGTACTTTATTTATGGTTTTAATTATTAAGCATGTTCAATTTTTCTAATATTATCATAATAGTATATTGGTGTTTTTATTTCTTTTTTTTTGTAATATTTCTTATTTATTTTGGTCATTTTTTATTTAACTGCTACTGCAACCGCTGATTTACCAGTCATAAAACTCCCGCAAACGCTACCATTTTCAAACGCTAAACCAGCCGTTCAAAATGCTTGGTAACGCTTGAAGCCACAACCGCCCGCTTTCGCAAATTCCCGCAGCCGCAACCGCAACCGCTGCGTTTAAACCAGTTAGGCCCTTAATCTCTTATTTTTAGCACCTAGCAATTTTCGAACATCGCTAGCAACTACTTTGGGCCAGCTTCACTCTTAGGCCAGTCAACAAACTTCGAGCCCAGTTAAAAACCCATCCACAGTCATTCCATTTCCGATTCAACTGAACCAACCTCTACAATTTATTTGTAATTGGACTAGAAGTTAAACCTCTAAAGTCTCAACCATTAGTCAACAAAACAAAACATAAAAACTATAATTATCAATCAAATCAAGTACATATGCAGCAGCAGCTTTGTGGTGACGTTTTCGTGGGCTGAAAGTGAAGTTTGGAAATGATTGAAACGACGGAACGAAATGAGCAGAGGAACTCGTTGGGAAGTGAAGAGTGCTACACACTAAAGAAAGATAATCTTGATACAAATAAACAATTATACTGAATATATATTTATAAAAATATGAAATTTTGTAAACTAGACTTATGTTCATGATATTAAAAATCTAGATATTATAGTCCACAATTACAAAGGGCAATTTTCAAAAATGCTGTTTAAGTCCAAATTTCAATTTGCAAATTAATGAAAAAAAAAATTCAGGCTGATGAGATTCCTTTTGTTATAATTCTAAATGTCTACCTGAAAATAGTTAAATATTGATATACACACATACTATATAGAGGCTTTTAAGAGAGGCTTTTTTAGCTTCAGCTATGAGCTATATAGATGTAATTATGAACTTCATTAGCTTTTTTAATTCTAGACCACTCACAATAGTATATGTGTGGGTATAGGTGTTAATAAATTTATATTGTTATAATAAAAGAGAAAGATGTCCAACCAAAAAAAAATAAAAGAGAGAGAAGAGAGAGATAAAGAGAAGATAAATGATTCTCCACTCATAACGCGCCACGTGGCCGTAACACCCGAGTCTTATGTAACACCCGAATGCAACATCTTCAGCCACTGTTTGCTTATTTTCGAATTTTTTAATCCTCACACCCCACAAAAAAATATGTCACTGTGGTTGCTCTAACATGCACTTGAGCTACATCATTTCATCTCAAACGATTACTTCTCTCAATATATACGAGCCCTTGTAATATCTTTGCATATCGCTAAGTAGAAACTCACTTAACCTTACTACTTCTCTTTTCATTCTCTATCTCCTCCACTCTTGTCTTGTCTCAAATAAGAAAATGAGAGGTACCAAGAAGCATGTTGTCACTAGAGCCTCTCCTTCTCTTGCTATTGTTGAGGTGAAGCCTCATGACCAAAAAGATGCTGTTCCTATTGAAGCACCGATTGTATCTTCTTACAATGATCAGATCAGGCCACTGCTTGACACTGTGGACAGGCTAAGGAACCTGAATGTGATGAGAGAAGGGATCCAGCTTCCCACCATTGTTGTGGTTGGAGACCAGTCGTCGGGGAAGTCAAGTGTTCTTGAGTCCTTGGCAGGAATCAGTTTGCCTCGTGGGCAAGGAATCTGCACTAGGGTTCCTCTTGTCATGAGGCTCCAGCGAAGCTCTAGCCCTGAACCTGAAATCTGGCTGGAGTATAATGACAAAGTTGTTCAGACGGATGAGGAACACATAGCTAATGCTATATGTGATGCGACTGATGTGATTGCTGGTACGTTCTGCATCTCTCCCTTCCGTACTGTTGAATATTTAGTTTTAACCTACAAGAAAGATTCTGAAAATGAAAATGACACCTTTATCTTATACATGCCCATCCAAAACAAACTTGTCACTGACACAGAAGTTCCCTGAAACTAGATGTGCATATATCACTGAATGCTAAAGCTAGAGGTGTTAATAGGGTTTTGTAACTCCTAGTGGGTCTTTAGTGATCTGTTTTTTTTTTGTTTTTTTCATGCTGTTACACTAGTTTTGCTATCTGATAAAACGTGAGAGTCTTGTAATGTTGAGACTAACCAGTTGAAGTCTTGATTTTGATAAGTACTTGTGAACACTATGTTGCAGGATCTGGCAAAGGGGTTTCAGACACACCCCTTACGCTCCATGTGAAGAAGGCTGGTGTTCCAGATATTACCATGGTTGATCTCCCTGGGATAACCCGGGTTCCTGTGAACGGACAGCCTGAAAACATCTATGAACAGATTTCCGGGATGGTTATGAAGTACATCGACCCACAGGAATCCATCATCCTCAATGTTCTGTCAGCCACAGTTGATTTTACAACTTGTGAGTCCATACGTATGTCTAAGCAAGTTGATAAAACAGGCGAAGGAACTCTGGCTGTTGTCACCAAGGCAGACATGGCTCCTGAAGGGCTCCTGCAGAAAGTAACTGCAGATGATGTGAGTATTGGACTTGGTTATGTCTGTGTCAGAAACCGAATCGGAGAAGAGACGTATGAAGAAGCTCGAATGCAAGAAGAGTTACTTTTTAGGAATCATCCAATGCTAAGCTTGATCGATGATGACATTGTGGGCATCCCTGTTTTAGCTCACAAGTTGACGCAGATCCAGGGAATGATGATATCCCGATGTTTGCCTGAAATCGAAAGGAAAATCAACGAGAAAATGGAGATCAGTGTCCTCGAGTTTAATAAGCTTCCAATAGTGATGGCTTCAACTGGGGAAGCATTGATGGCTCTAATGGATGTCATTGGTTCCGCCAAAGAGTCTCTCTTAAGAATTCTCGTCCAAGGAGATTTCTCTGAATACCCCGATGATCAAAACATGCATTGTACTGCCCGCTTGGCTGAAATGTTGAACGGGTTCTCAGATAATCTGCAAGCACAATCTCAGGTCGCTTCAGAGTTCTTGATGGACGAAATTAAAATTTTAGAAGAGTGCAAATGCATCGGATTGCCTAATTTTATACCAAGATCTTCTTTCTTAGCTATCCTTTCACAACATGTGGATGGAATTCATGCCAAGCCGGTTGAGTTCATCAAAGAGATATGGGACTACATTGAAGTTGTTCTCTCGTCTGTCATTACCAAGTATTCTGACAACTTTCCACAGATCCAATCCTCCATCAAAAGGGCTGGTTGTAATCTAATGAGCAAGACTAAGGAACGTTCAGTGAACAGAGTAATTGAGATCGTTGAGATGGAGAAGCTTACCGATTACACATGTAGCCCAGATTACATGACTTCTTGGACTCAGAAGACAACTTCACAGCAAAACTTCATCAATTGGATTTGGGAATGTGAAGATCTTTAACTGACTACTTCTCTTTAACTGGATTGTATTGTATTGCACGATGAGGAGAAACCTGACTACTTCTCTTTAACTGGATTTGGGAATGTGAAGATCTCGCATCTACGACATTATCACGCTCATTTGCTGCAACAAGCGTTTGATATGAAGATGAGGATCACATCGTACTGGACAATCGTCCTGCGAAGGATTGTGGATAATCTTGCTCTGTTTCTTCAGTTTTCTGTGAAGAATCTGGTCAATAGTCAGTTTCAGAAGGAGATAGTTGCGGAAATGGTGGATACAAGAGCTGGCGGAGGAATTGAGAGGATGCTGGAGGAGTCTCCGTCGGTTGCGAGCAAGAGGGAGAAGCTGAAGAACTGTATCAAGCTTCTGAAGGAGTCCAAGGACGTTGTGGCGGCGATCGTTGATCAGAATTCTGGGTACGGAGATCGTTGATCGATTGCTTCTTCCGTCGAGCTTTTGGTGAAGTCGGGTTATGGAGATCATTGATGTCGGGTCGGGTTCTCTGATGTTGAAGTTGGGCTTGGGCCTTTTGTAGTTTTTGAACATTTGAATTTTCTGGCCTCTTTTATGTTTTTAATCTCTTTGTATGGTATAATACTATAATGTAACAACGCTAAGCTAAACGTTATGTCGTCTTTACCGTTTGGAGTGAATTTAAGCTTCATCAAATATTTCATTATCGTACCAATTCTATTCATCTTTTTCTACTGATTCTTCTAATATTTTACCATTTAGATCCGCCTGTTATTATTACTAGAGGTGTTCAAAAATGGTGAATCCCAACCAATTCGAATTGTAGTAATATAGTTTTATTTTAGGTATTTTACATAAACTTTTGAGTATAATTTTTAAAGTATACATCAGGTCCGGATTCAGTTTGAGAAATATTCGACTAAGTCTGTAGCCGACAAATGTATATAAACATACATGTATTACATATAAATAATCTTTTATCGTTTTTGAGATTGGACTAGGTTAATATACTAAATTTGGTTAATAAAGCCCTTTTCTTTGAAAACAAATATCGTATAGTTCTTACGATTTTAAAGATGCAACAAAAATTGGACATGGTTTAACTTCCGTTAAAAGTTAAAACCGTTAAGGACTTTGTTGAACCACCATAGATCGAGAGTTTGTGATCAAAACTCTCGTCCCATTTATCTCATGATTTTCCATGTTTTCTAAATCTTTCAACATGACCAAAGCAATATTCTTAGGTGTTAAAAAAAAGTCTAAAGTAATATTCTCGACTTATGAAAGTTTATATTGAAGTACTAATTTAGAATTGAGACTACAGTCTTTATGGCCAAACTAGATTGTCTATCTTCTGTTTTTTATTCTGGGTCTGTTAATCAGCCTTTATGGCTCCAAAAACTTTTCTGTAATGATCCTTTGAATTAATAAAAGTTTGTTTGACGAAAAAAAGAGAGTCTAGAGTCTTTATTTAACGGGAACACCACACACACATAAACGTTAAGCTTTTTTACTAGCTTAGCGTTAATTACCTATCAGTTGCTACCACACAAATTGATTAAAAACATAAACGAAAAAATCCGAAAACTCAGAAAACACAAAAGCCCAACTCCTAAAAAGCCCAACCTAAAACCCGACCCGACCCGACTACACCAAAGCGAGAATGAAGCTATCGATCAACCGTCAACGATCTCCAAACCCAGAGTTCTGATCAACAATGGCAGCCACAGCATCCTTACACTCCTTCAGAAGCTTGATACTGTTCTTCAGCTTCTCCCTCTTACTCGCCATCGACGGAGACTCCTCCAACATCTTCTCAACTTCTCCTCCGCCACTTGAATTCACCAATTCCTCCCCGATCTCCTTCTGTAATTGACTGTTCACAAGATTCTTCACAGAGAATTGAAGATACAGAGCCAGGCTATCCACAATCCTTCGTACGACGATTATCCAGTAAGATGTGATTCTAACCTTCATGTCAAACGCTTGCCTAAGCAATTGCGCATCATACTTCCTTAGATGCGAAATCTGAACAATTCCGAATCCAGATGCATTTAAGTTGCAGTTGTTCGAATTATTGCTATGTACAGCAGTGATGAAGCTTCCTTGCGCAGCAATCTTCTCGGTGTATACTGTCATATACTCAGGGTTACATGTGTAGTCGGTTAGTTTCTCCATCTCGATGATTTCGATTACTCTGCTCACAGATTGTTCCTTGATCTTGGTGATTAGATTCCGACCAGCTCTTTTGAGTGAGGATTGAATCTGTGGGAAGTTTTCAGAGTATTTGGTAAGAACAGATAATAGAACGCCTTCAATGTAGTCCCATGTCTCTTTGATGAACTCAACCGGCTTAGTATGAATTGCATCAATACGTTGTGAAAGGATAGCTATGAAGGCAGATCTTGGGATGAAATTAGGCAATCCGATAGATTTGCACTCTTCTAGTACTTTGATTTCATCCATCAAGAACTCATCCGTCACGTTTTGGGGGTGTGCTTGCAGATTGGCTGAGAATTGGCCCAACATATCCGCTAAACGCGCGGTTGAGTGCATGCATTGATCATCTGAAAATTCAGAAAAATCGCCTTGGACTAAAATTTTTATGAGTGATTCTTTGGTGGAACCAATGATACGCAGGAAAGTGAACAAAGCTTCCCTTGTAGATGTCATTACCTTTGGTAGCTTGTTCAACTCGGCGATACTGTTGTCCATTTTTTCATTGATTCTCTGTACGATATCTGGCAAACATCGGGTGATCATTGTCGCCTGGATTTGTGTTAACTTCTGAGCTAAAACCGGAATACCAACAATCTCATCGTCAATCATGGAAAGTGGATGCTTCTTGAAAAGCAACTCTTCTTGTAACCTAGCTTCTTCATAGGTTTCGTTTCCTATACGGTTCCTGACACAGACATAACCGAGTCCGATACTCACATCATTTGCAGTTACTTTGTGAAGGAGACCTTCTGGAGCTAAGTCGACTTTCGTCACAACAGCCAGAGTTCGTTCACCAGTTTTGTCAACTTGCCTAGACATACGGATGGATTCACAGGTGGTGAAATCAACTTGAGCTGATAGAACGTTGAGGATTATTGTTTCCTGAGGCTCAATGTACTTCATAATCATAGCAGAAATTTGCTCATATATATTTTCCGGCTGGCCATCAACAGCAATCCGGACAATCCCGGGGAGGTCAATCATGGTAAGATTTGGAACGCCAGCTTTCATCACATGGAGGGTCAAGGGAGTGTCTGAGACCCCTTTTCCAGATCCTGCAACACGAATTTTTACGATCATAATCACAATTTGCAACAATCCATCTGTTAGTATCAAGCATGCACCCTCATTGTAGTACTATGTAGAATCAGATTACTCAAGCCTCAACTAGGAGTCTCAAAATCAAAAACACATATTGGCTCTAATATTCAGGTATGCATACACAATTAGTTTCTGACTGCAGTCTTTTTCTACGAATCTATCTTGCAGCTTTATAACATATAACATACTTAGCACTCTGATAAAGGAAGTCAGAACTTACCAGCAATAGCATCGGTTGCTTTGCGAATAGCTTCAGCAATGTGCTCCTCGTCAGTTTTATCAACTTTATTCTTACCGTACAGTTCGTACTCAAGCCAGATCTCAGGTTCAAAGCTAGAGCTCTGCTGAAGCCTCATCACAAGAGGAACCCTAGTGCAGATTCCTTCCCCGCGAGGCAAACTGATTCTGGCCAGCGACTCGAGAACGCTAGACTTCCCATAGGACTGGTCTCCAACCACAACAATGGTGGGAAGCTGGATCCCTTCACTCATCACATTCAGGTTCCTCAACTTGTCAACAGTGTCAAGCAACGGCCTAATTCGGTCATCATAAGAAGATATAATTGGTGCTTTGATTTGGACATGGTGATGAGGACTTGTGTTGACAATAGCAAGAGAAGACATGCCAACGCTAGTTTCACACACTTCAAGCATCTTACCGTCTCCCATGGATTAAAAAAAACAAGAGACAAGTAGGAAAGAGATTGAGACAGAGAGACAGAGAAGAGAAGTTTTCGGGTGAGTGAGATTGTTGTTGGTACTGATAGTCTGTTATATATAGAGAGTAGCTTGTGGTGACGTTTGATGTTTTAAGAGATGGAAGTTTGAAGGTTGTTTTGATGTTTTAAGAAGTGGAAGTTTGAAGGTTGTGTTGTGTGCATGGTTTTTAGTACAAGAAAAAATGTAAATCACCTGACTGTTCGTGGAATATTTGGAGTTTACTCTTGGTTTTCGTATTAACATTTGTCTTAAAAAAAATTGAACCGAAATTTCTTAGTTGGATTACATTTGTGCAATAAATAAATTTTTAATGTAGATGGGAAACACAAACTCTGTATAAAAACTAAAAAGTAAAAACCATTCTATTTTTTCAAGTGTTCGTACTTTGTTTTTTTTTCTCAAGCCCATTCTCTGTATTTATCTCTAACAACTTAATTCATGTTGTTGAATCCACGACGCCTCAAATGAAAAATTCACTGACACACACACAAACACAAGATCTTACTTCGCACAAGCAAAGAAATAGACTTCATTACTCACACACAATTTGTCTGATCGACTATGTTGTTATATAAAGAACTTAACCAAAAGCCGTTGAACCTTTAACAACCTCGGTTTAACCTCAAATCGATATACTCTTACTCCAAACCCTCTCTCCATCTCATAAGCTTTCAACTTCCTCTAGCTCAATCTGAAGCTCTTCGTTAAGCGACTTCGTCGGCTTAACTAAGACCATTAATTTTCATATCGAACGCTTGTTGAAGCAAATGAGTGTGATTCTTTCGTTGATGTGAAATCTTCACATTCCCGAATCCAGATAAAGAGAAGCAGTAAAGTTTATTTTCATCGTGGAACACAGAACTGATGAAGCTTTGCTGTGTGTTAGATTGGAAATGTGGGAAGTTGTCAGAATATTTGGTAATGACTGGTGAGAGAACAACTTCAACGTCGTTCCCATATCTTCTTGATATACTCAAAAGAACACAAGAAATAAAATCAAGAAGACTTTTGTTTGGAAATTTAAATTGCCTATTATTGGCTTTATTCATTGTTTTAAATTGATGAACATAACAGAGATGGAGCCTTAACTCCCACAAGCAAGGAACATGGAAATGTGGAAGAGGACCAATTCTCTTCTTATTTTAATTTGAAACAAATAGCACCATTACTTAAAAGAAACAGAGAACAGGAACCGTTTACTGCAAGTATTTGCGGTTTGGAATTCGTCCCCGTTTCGATCTCCTTAGGGGCGGTTCACTTGGTTTTGCAGCTGCTCGGGATATCATCACCTCCTGGATCTGCATCAACTTTTGAGCTAACACAGGGATACCCACAATATCTTTTTCTATCATGGAAAGAAATGGATGAGTCCCAAATAGTGACTCTTCTTCCCTTCGAGCTTCTTCAAAGGTTTCCTCCCCAATCCTGTTTCTAACACAGACATAACCAAGTCCAATACTCACCTCATCTGCAGTTACTTTCTCCAGGACACCTTCAGGAGCCATGTCAACCTTTGTGACCACAGCCAGAGTTCGTTCCCCTGTTTTGTCGACTTTCTTAGACATCCGTACGGACTCACAAGTTGTGAAATCAACTGTTGCTGGCAGAACATTGAGGATGATGGATTCTTCTGGCTTGATGTACTTCATAATCATCCTGGAGATCTGCTCATAGATGGTTCGAGGCTGTCCATTCACGGAAACTCGAGTTATCCCAGGGAGATCAACCAATGTCAGATCGGGAACACCATCCTTCTTCACATGGAGGGTCAAAGGAGTGTCTGAGACGCCTTTAACAGATCCTGCATTTATGAGTATATAATCATAACAACAATTCCCAACAATCTATTTGTTAGTCTCAAACATGCTACACTCAGTGTTACAGTGTGAAAATTATCGATTACTTAGAAAACACGTATAGGCTATAATGTGTGAAGAGACACATTCTAAGAATCAGTCTTTGGAGGTTTAAACCATATAAACTAAACAGCTAGTAAAAGATAAAGAGAAATTCAAAACTTACCAGCAATTGCCTCAGCTGCAGTACAAATAGCATCGGCGAGATGCTCCTCATCAGTATCAACTCTTTTGTCATCGTACTCAAGCCAGATTTCAGATTCAGGGCAAGGACTTCTCTGTAATCTCATCACAAGAGGAAATGTAGTCCTTTGCCCTCGAGGCAACCTGATTCCAGCCAGCGACTCAAGAACACTTGTCTTTCCAGAGGATTGGTCTCCGATGACAACTATAGTCGGGACCTGGATCCCTTCTTTCATCAGATCCAAGTTCCTGAGCCTGTCTGAAATGTCGAGTATCGGATCATTGTAGGAAGATATGGGCGCTACAATGGGAACAGTATCCTCTTGTGGGTTTGTTTCGACAGCTTCAAGAACAGTATCCTCATTGTGGGAAGATTCAATGGGTGCTTCAGTTGGAACCACTTCCTCCTGGGGTTTTGATTCAACAGTACCAAGAGAAGTAGAGGTTTTCGAGACTCCCATTTTTGCTTGAGATTAAATAAAGAGAAGGACAGAGAAGATGGGTTTGTAGTGAAAGCGTCTCATGTTGGTGTGGTGACTTATATAGAGTGGCTTATAGTGACGTTTCGTGGTTTTTACGTTTACGGAGCAGATTTTTACTTCTACTTCAATCTCTATCTTTCATTTGTTAGCTGTCAATGACTATGAACCACCATAGACTGCAAGTTTGTGATCCCATTACCTCGTGATTCTCCATGTTTTCGAGGAGAATTTAATTTGATAAATTATTTTAATTTAAATATTTCACCAAACAAACTGTAATGCAATAAAAAACATTTTTAATTAATAAACTTTATAAAAGCTTTAATTTAAAATTAAATTTATTAAACAAGAAACACCACATAAAAACGTTAAGCGTACCAAAAAAAAAAACAGATTCAACACGTAAAACAGAGACATCATAAAAGACCCAGCTTTAAAAAAGAAACATTAGAAAACCCTAAAAACACGAACACTCTTCACCAACGCTAAAAGAAGCAATCACTTAACAATCTCTACCCAGAATTCTGATCAACAATGGCGGCAACTGCTTCCTTGGACTCCTTCAAGAGCTTGATACTGTTCTGAAGCTTCTCTCTCTTGCTTGCCACCGACGGCGACTCCTCCAACATCCTCTCAACTCCTCCGCCAGCTATTGGATCCACCATTTCTACGATAATCTCTTTCTGAAATTGATTATTCACTAGATTCTTCACAGAGAACTGAAGGTAGAGTGCAAGGTTGTCCACAATCCTTCGTAAGACGATCGTCCAGTAAGCTGTGATTCTCATCTTCATCTCGAACGCTTGCCTAAGCAATTGCGCGTCATACTTCCGAAGATGCAAAATCTTAACCTCCCCAAAACCATATCCAGTTAGTGAGTATTTGGAATAACCGTCCAGTACAGCAGTGATGAAGCTTCCTTGCGCAGCAATCTTCTCGGTGTATACTGTCATATACTCAGGGTTACATGTGTAGTCGGTTAGTTTCTCCATCTCGATGATTTCGATTACTCTGCTCACAGATTGTTCCTTGATCTTTGTGATGAGATTCCGGCCAGCTCTCTTGAGTGAAGATTGAATCTGTGGGAAGTTTTCAGAGTATTTGGTAAGAACAGATAATAGAACGCCTTCAATGTAGTTCAGTACGTCTCTGATGAACTCGACCGGCTTAGTATGAATTGCATCAACACGTTGTGAAAGGATAGCTAAGAAGGCAGATCTTGGGATGAAATTAGGCAATCCGATAGATTTGCACTCTTCTAGTACTTTGATTTCATCCATCAAGAACTCCTCTGTCACTGGCTGTGCTTGTAGATTTGATACAGGAAAATGATGCATAAGAGTGGCTGACGTGGAGGTTTCTTAAGAGCTGATTGGTGGGAATATGAGTAGTGACTTGGCAAAGGATGATTGGGTGAATCTGAAGTTGGGAGAAGAATGTTGACCAAGTCGTGAAGCTATAAACAGAGCTGAAGATCATTTGTGGAGAATTAACCAGAAAATTGTAAACGTTTGTATCTTCTTCTTTGAATCTATTGTTGTTGCTAGGTTTCTCTCATCTTGAGAGCTAGCGTTTGATCGTTTGGGTGTTTTATGAACATCGAAATGATTCTTTGGGTTACGGATTGTTAATCGGAGTTGTATTGAAGTGAATCGTGAAGTTTACTGTATCAAAGGTATCAGAGCCTTACGATTCTCGGAATCAATGGAGGAAACAAGAGCTTTGACGAAGATGGAAGAAACTGTCGTTCGTGAAGCGGCGGAGACGTTGGGTTTGCGAATAAAAAAGCTTCATCGGAGAATTTCATGGGAAGAGTTTAACGAGAGATGGTTCAAGGGACTTTGTATGTTCTGCGATGAACCGGAGACTCCGGATCACCATCTACATCACAAGAATTCAGGAATTCTGATGATAGATTGTGATGACGATCAAATGTCTCATGACAAAGAATTGGTTGAAACTGAGGTGGCCACAGAATCGAGTGAAACTGATCAAGGAACAGTGAATCATGGGGCAACTGCAGACATGAATTTGGCACTCTTGGAGGAAGAATCGATTCCACAATTTCAGGTACCAATTGCTAATTCTGAGATTTTTAGGAGTAGTGAACTTAGGGAAGCCAATTCAAAGTTGGAAATTCTAGAGTATGTGGTGATGAATGAGAATGAGAATCTAGAGCAAGATAGGGTTCAAAAGTACGTTAATATGAAATTTGAGGTTGATGGTGATGCTGTTAGTATTGCACGCCAAGTGTTTGATTCAATGCCATTGGAAACAAACCTGTTGCGAAATATGATAAGGGAAACATTTTCAAAGACTTGGTGGTTTAAGTTCAAAGCAATGACAAAACCAAGGCTGCCTAGAACAAAATCATCGAATCTAAAGCTGATTTTGATGAAAGAAGAACCACAATCTGTGATAGTAGATGAAGTGACGTTTGAGACACAGCGTTGCAATTTGATTCAAGCCAAGAGGCTGATGCGAAAGACGAATTCGCTCTGTAACGATGAATTAGTCTATGTTCTTGAGGATTTATCATCGGCTGAAGAAACATGGTTCTTAAGTGATAAATCAAAAGACATTCAAGCTGGAAATTTTGTGGACGGTAAGTTGCACTTTGATCACTACAAAGTGGTTAAAAAAAGGCTCCTTCAAAGCCACATTATCCAGCAACGGAGGAAGCTGCATTTGCCTTCTAACTCATGGATGTTTGAGTATAAAAGGGGCCATAAGAAACTACTCAGACCTACCTTGTCCGGAACTGTGAGAATGATTGTTTTTCCAAAAAAGGAAGCAGAACAAAAGATTCATCCATTGATTGAATATGAGTTTCATGAAGCTCCAATGGGAATGAATATTCAGGTCTCTGAAGTTGGTATCAAATCAGTTTGCCAGTTCCCTAGTTTCCACGTTTGGAGGTGGCAAACCAATTTGGTTATGCAACAAGTAATGAGAAACAAAAAGTTCAGGTTTTCCAAGCGGTGGTGGTTCAAGTATAAATCCGTAGAAAAGGGTACTAAGCGACGGCACATTCAGTTGAGGTACAAGTGCATGTTGACATTTGAAGAGTGGTTACGAAGTTGGGGCAGCAGAGAAAGTTGGAGGAATCACAACTTGGAGGCTTCACACATACAATCTAGCTTTGCCTTTATTGATTTCCAGTCTGGTTTTGGTGTTGTTATTATCATTCTTCAGGGAGTACAACAGCAGGGGTGTAGAATTCTGATGTTACACTTGAAGGAAAAAGGGAGATTTAGGCCCTTACCATCATTTTCAAGACTGATTTTGTTGGCGTTGCTCAATCTTTGGTTTAGTAAGGCATATGAAATATCAGGACTGCTGAAAGATTCAAGTGACGACGGGGCTGAGAATTCTCCAGTTCTGAATTTTGTTGCAGAACAACCTCTCTTATGGCTGCAGAACTACTCTAAGAAAATTCACATAGTTTCAGAGCTTGAGAACAAGAAGAAGGAAATATGTTACACGAGTTGGATGTTCAAGTACAAGGCACCGCTAAAGAGCATTCATGACAAGTTGGGAAAGCCTAAGGATCGTGGTGCATTGCTAATACAACAGTTCAAAATCAAGCACAAATGGCGATTTAAACTCTTGCTGTCGATCTTAGCGCTGGAGATATACTTGGGCAGTCTTGTGCTCGTCACTAACTATGCACATCAGTTTCATCGCTTAAGACTGATCATTCTTATGGGTGTGGGGATGTTTACAAATCTGAGAAGCCAACTCCCTCTTTAGCCTTGAGATGAAGTATACAACAACTCTCCCTTGGAAATCAGATTGTTCCCTTCTCTATCAAACCTTGAGGTCAAGGTTTCTTCAAACGGGGAAGATTTGATACAGGAAAATGATGCATAAGAGTGGCTGACGTGGAGGTTTCTTAAGAGCTGATTGGTGGGAATATGAGTAGTGACTTGGCAAAGGATGATTGGGTGAATCTGAAGTTGGGAGAAGAATGTTGACCAAGTCGTGAAGCTATAAACAGAGCTGAAGATCATTTGTGGAGAATTAACCAGAAAATTGTAAACGTTTGTATCTTCTTCTTTGAATCTATTGTTGTTGCTAGGTTTCTCTCATCTTGAGAGCTAGCGTTTGATCGTTTGGGTGTTTTATGAACATCGAAATGATTCTTTGGGTTACGGATTGTTAATCGGAGTTGTATTGAAGTGAATCGTGAAGTTTACTGTATTAAGATTTTCTGCGAATTGGCCCAACACGTCAGCCAAACGAGCAGTAGAGTGCATGCTTTGATCATCTTGATAGTCACAGAAGTCTCCTTGTACAAGAATCCTTTGTAGACACTCCTTGGCAGAACCAATGATATTCATGAAAGTCATCAAAGCTTCTTGACTTGAAGTCATTACCATTGGTAGCTTATTCAACTCAAAGTAACTTACTTCCATCTTCTCTTTGATCTTCTGAACGATATCAGGCAAGCAACGAGCAATCATTGTTCCCTGGATCTGCATCAATTTCTTAGCTAAAACCGGGATACCTACAATGTCATGGTCAATCATAGAAAGCAATGGATGAGTTTTGAAAAGTAATTCTTCTTGCATCCTAGCTTCTTGATATGTCTCATCACCTATACGGTTCCTTACACAGACGTAACCTAGTCCAATACTCACGTCGTCTGCCATTACTTTCTCTAGGAGACCTTCAGGAGCCATGTCAGCTTTTGTCACGACAGCTAGAGTCCGTTCCCCTGTTTTGTCAACTTGTCGAGACATACGGATGGATTCACAGGTGGTGAAGTCGACTGTAGCTGACAGGACATTGAGGATGATGGATTCTTGTGGCTCGATGTACTTCATTATCATCCCAGAGATTTGTTCATAGATGTTTTCTGGCTGTCTATTCACGGGAACACGGGTTATACCGGGGAGATCAACCATTGTCAAATCAGGAACACCATTCTTCTTAACATGTAGGGTCAGGGGAGTATCTGAGACGCCCTTACCAGATCCTACAAATGGGTATATTTACAATATAGCAATCCATTAGTTAGTCTTAAACATGTTACAATCAATGTTGCAGTATGAAAACTCAGATTACTTAGATAACACATATAGGCTCTAATATACTTACTTTCATGTTGGGGCTTACTATGTGTGAGGACACTAGTTTTAAGAATATGTCTTGTTGGTTTATACCAAATAACATACTTTAACATTCTGATAAAGAGAGTCAGAACTTACCAGCAATTGCCTCAGTTGTGATGCTAATAGCTTCAGCTATATGCTCCTCGTCAGTATCAACTCTTTTGTCATTGAACTCAAGCCAGATCTCAGGTTCAGGACTAAGACTTCTCTGGAGTCTCATCACAAGAGGAACCCTAGTGCATATTCCTTGCCCACGAGGTAAACTGATTCCGGCCAAGGACTCAAGAACACTTGACTTCCCCGAAGACTGGTCTCCAACCACGACAATGGTGGGAAGCTGGATCCCTTCTTTCATCACATTCAAGTTTCTAAGCCTATCGACAGTATCAAGTAACGGCCTGATCCGGTCATTGTAAGAAGATACAATTGGTGCTTCAGTAGGGATTGTGTTGACTATAGATAGAGAAGACATCCCAGCTTCCACATTAATTTCAGAAACTGTTGGCATCTTACTACCTCCCATTTTTGTCTGAAAGTGAGAAAAAAAAAAAAAAGAGATCGAAAAAGTAGGAAAAAGATAGAAACAGAGAAGAAATGTTATTGTGAGTGAGACTCTTGCTAGTGGTAACATATATATATATATATAGAGTGGCTTGTTGTGCCGTTAAATATAAAGTTTGAAAAGTTATTCATGGTTTTTAGTATAAGAAATAAGACTAAATGTATATGTTAGAACTATTATTTACATGTAGTGTCTCCATTTTTTCTCTAACAAATTCTTCCATGAGTATATAATGAATTCGACTGGTGATATAAACCGATAAAAGTTTAGTAGAAATAAAGTGATAAACGATACTACTATAGTTTATATTGTAACATGGTTTTTTTGGGTTTCATTCAAAAAAAAAAAAAAAGATACTACTATAGTTAAAGGAGGTAAATAGATATTAGTAAAAAAAAGCAGAACAAAAATAGATAAATGGTATCGTCTTTCGTATTGTTTATTTTTTTTCATTTTTGTGAATTGTGACCATACTAATAGTATTACCTCCAAATACAGAGATTTTTCAAAATTATACTTACTTTGTTTCACAAAAATTATTATTTTAAACTTTATTTTTGTTATACAAAGAGGCCGTTTTATATTTTTGATGCAGTTTTTAAAACGAAATCTCTTTTTCATCCTTATTATCTTAGTTTATTAGTTAGGTAGAAAAATTTATATCTATAAAAATATATATTAAAAATTTACATAATATTTTTAGTTTGTATGAAACATGTCAAAATGACGGTGAAACCGTGAAACAAAGGAAGTAGTTAACTGGATAAATAACTAGATGTATGAGATATTTTAGGCTAGCCAAGAAAATTTGAAGTAAATGATAATAATGATAATAAGGCAAATTAATATTATCGAACTTACAAAAACCACTATTTTTTTTCGTAATGTAACATGTTATCTTTTTGTGTGGATGCATAATTTTTTTTACTTAGCATCCTAACAAAATTAAACCCAAAATTCTAACATTCATTTTTTTGTAAATTAGACATGATGTAAGTAAATAACATGTTATATACAAATGTCATTCGTCTTATAACAGTTAAATGAAAAAAATAAATCTTCCAAACTCATAAAAAATATTTCTATAATCATACATTATTTGCATTGCAATTTTTTTTTTATAATTGTCATGTTGCTATTTTTTTAAAATTGTCATGCAACTTTTTGTCAGTAGGGTATACAAATTTCTTAAATTTGATTATTCAGACCAATGAAGCTCTTGTAAGGGTTTAACTTTGCTTTAGTTATGTATAGGCCTGGGCAAAAAAACTGTACCCGAGTACCCGAACCGAAACCGACCCGAAAAAACCGGTTTGGGGCGGGTACGGGTATTAGCTATTTATCCTATTGGGTCTTGTATTGCCGTACCCGTGGGTATAGGGTAAAACCCGATCCGAACCCAATATCCGAACGGGTACCCGATATACTTATACATATAAAACTTTTTATATATGTAATATTTGAATTAAATACATTTATATCTAAATATCCGAGAATAGTTACCAAAAATTAAATGCACTTATATTTAAATATTTAAGACAAAATATATTTATACGTGAGATGCTTGTAAATTTTTTAAATATTTGGACAAAATTCCGGTTATTCGGATAAATTTTCGGGTGAAACTCGGATATTAGAGTAAAATTGCGGATAAAATTCGGATATTAGGATAAAATTTCGGATAAAATTCGGGTATTTGGTAAAATTTTGGGTATTTGGGTATAAAATACCCGAACCCGATGGGTACCCGATTTTTTTGGGTATTTAGCGGTTCTAAAAATCTAAACCCGAACCGACCCGAACCCGATTAGATCCGAACCGAAACCGAACCGATATTTTAGATTTACCCTATTGGGTCCTAAACTCCTCTACCCGAAAGACCCGTACCCGATCGGGTTTTACCTGAACCCGACCCGCATACCCGAATGCCCAGCCCTAGTTATGTACGGACTTTCTTTTTCTTTCTCTTTTCTTACTCCACCGAGCAAACCCACCATACGAAGTTATTGGGATTATTCCACATTTCCTATAAAGGAATTCGATTTTAATTTTTTGATTTGAGATAAATATCGTAATTGAGTGAATCTGTGCCAAATGGTTCTATGGTCTAGCACCTCAAGCTAGTTAGTAACTGTGGTTTTCAAATCTCAAAATATGTTTCTTTGGGACTTACCAACTGAATTGAAATGGTCAAATGCTTTCATTGAAATGTAATAAATTTAAAACAAATAATCCGAGTGAAGATAAAAAGAAAAAGTAATATAATTTCATATAGTAGATGGTATAAAAATAACAAATTCACTAAGGTTGACCAGATTAACTACTGCAATAAAATTATTCTTAAGAAACTTCTTATAATTTATGAAATTCATTCAAACGGTAAAAGAGGCCAACGTAACGTTATTAAGCTTAATAGCTTAATCGTTACCACACACAAAATATTACAACCATAAACCGATAAACGAGAAAATCCGAAAGTTGAAAGAAAAAACACAAAGGGCCCAACTCCAAAACAGAAACCCATCAGAGAGCCCTAAAAAAACTGACCCGACTTAACCGAAACAAATCGGAGACTAACCCGACCCGATTTGAATGTTCCAAACAAATCAATCCATAACCCGACCCGACATCACCAAATCACGAGAGAAACAATCGATCAACGATCTCCGTACCCAGAACTCTGATCAACAATGGCGGCAACAGCATCCTTGGACTCCTTCAGAAGCTTGATACTGTTCTTCAGCTTCTCCCTCTTGCTTGCCACCGACGGAGACTCCTCCAGCATCCTCTCAACTCCTCCGCCAGCTCTTGGATCCACCATCTCCGCCACAATCTCCTTCTGAAACTGACTGTTCACGAGATATTTCACAGATAGTTGAAGATACAGCGCAAGGCTGTCAACAATCCTACGCAAGACGATCCTCCAGTATGATGTGATCCTCATCTTCATATCAAACGCTTGTTGCAGAAGATGAGCGTGATACTTCCGTAGATGCGAGATCTTCACATTCCCAAATCCAGTTAACGAGAAGTGTTCAGGCTTTTTCGCATCGTACAACACAGCATGAATGAAGTTTTGTTGTTCAGCAGTTTTCTGGGTCCAAGACGTCATGTACTCAGGGTTACATGTGTAATCCGTCAGCTTCTCCATTTCAACTATCTCCATCACTCGCTCTACTGATTGTTCCTTGATCTTGGTGATTAGATTTCGACCGGCACGTTTGATGGCTGATTGGATCTGCGGGAAGTTTTCCGAGTACTTGGTAATGACTGATGAGAGAACAACTTCAATGTAGTCCCAGATCTTCCTGATGAACTCCACTGGCTTGACATGAATATTCTCAACGTGTTGTGAGAGAATGGCCAAGAAAGCTGATCTCGGGATGAAATTGGGCAATCCAACACACTTGCACTCGTCAAGGATCTTGATTTCGTCCATTAAGAACTCGGTCACGTCCTCTGGCTTGGCTTGCAGATTATCGGAGAATTGGCTTAACATATCAGCCAAGCGAGCAGTACAATGCATGTTCTGATCATCAGGGAATTCAGAGAAATCTCCTTGAACGAGAATTCTTAAGAGTGACTCCTTGGCAGAACCAATGATGTCCATCAATGCCATCAATGCTTCTCCGGTAGAAGCCATTACCATCGGTAACTTGTTCAACTCAAGGACAGCGGTTTCCATCTTGTGATTGATCTTGCGAACAATTTCAGGCAAACAGCGGGAAATCATCGTTGCTTGGATAAACATTAGCTTCTGAGCTAAAACAGGGACTCCCACAATGTCATCATCGATCAAGCTTAGCATTGGATGAGTCCTGAAAAGTAACTCTTCTTGAATTCTTGCTTCTTCATATGACTCTTCGCCTATGCGGTTTCTGACACAGACGTAACCTAGACCTATACTCACATCATCTGCTGTTACTTTCTGCAGGAGTCCTTCAGGAGCCATGTCTGCCTTTGTGACAACAGCCAAAGTCCGTTCCCCTGTTTTGTCAACTTGTCTTGACATGCGAATGGATTCACATGTGGTGAAATCCACCGTAGCTGACAGAACGTTGAGGATTATTGATTCTTGAGGCTCGATGTACTTCATGATCATTGAAGAGATCTGCTCATAAATATTTTCCGGCTGTCCATTCACTGGAACTCGAGTTATTCCAGGAAGATCGACCATGGTAAGATCTGGAACACCAGCCTTCTTCACATGGAGGGTCAATGGAGCGTCTGAGACCCCTTTACCAGATCCTGCAGCATATAGGTAGTCAAACCTGGTTAGTCTCAAACACACAACACTCTAAAGTTCTATCATAAAGAAAAACTAGTGTAAACAGCACTACAATAATCAGACCAAACTAGAAGTTCCATAATCATATTTCACCTCTAGGTACTTGTATTTAGGTAGAAGTAAGTAACACACGTGATACGTGAAGAGAAAGTATAATTAACAGCATGAAAAAAGTCAGAACATTAAGACCCAACAAGGAGTTCTAGAGTATATAAAAAACATCTCTAGGCACTTTCATTTAAGTATATGTACACATCTAAATCCAAGGACTTCTATGGTAAGGAAACCAACTTATTTCTAATATTTATGTTTCAGATTAAAGGTCTCATTCTCAATAGTCTCTCTTGCTGCAAAACACACTTAACACCTACGAGAGAGAGTGAGCTTACCTGCAATCACATCTGTTGCAGCGCAAATAGCTTCAGTGATGTGTTCTTCATCTGTGGGAACAACTTTGTCACTGTACTCAAGCCAAATCTCAGGTTCAAGGCTAGAGCTTCACTGAAGTCTCATGACAAGAGGAACCCTAGTGCAGATTCCTTGCCCACGAGGCAAACTGATTCCAGCCAAGGATTCAAGAACACTTGACTTCCCTGAGGACTGGTCTCCAACCACAACAATGGTGGGAAGCTGGATCCCTTCTCTCATCACATTGAGGTTCCTTAGCCTGTCAACAGTGTCAAGCAACGGCCTGATCCGGTCATTGTAAGATGAGACAATCGGTGCTTCAATGGGAACAACAGCTTTGTTGTCATGAGGATGTGCTTCAACAATGGCAAGAGAAGGAGAGGTTCTAGTGACAACATGCTTCTTACTACCTCCCATTTTGATTCTTGAGACAAGACAAGAGTAGAAGAGATAAGAGACAGAAAAGAGAAGTTTTAAGTGTTAAGTGAGATTCTTCTTAGAGATATGCAAAGATATATATAGAGATATTAGAAGGGCTTTGTGTATATGAAGAATATAAGAAACAAGTAAATTGCATGAAAGGATGCAAGTAGCGTGCATGTTGGAATTGAAAAAAGCTAATTAAGTCAGTAATTGCACCTATATCTAGCTCGTAGTTGAAGCTAAAAAGTCTCTTAAATCCTTTATTATATGTGTGTATTTGAATATTTTATTGGCTCCAATTGGCTGAATTCTCTTGTGGTGACGTTTGGAATTTTGACTTAAGGCGTAACTTGATAAATTTCGTTCATTGGGCTCAACACTTGATAATTTCCAATGGTTGTTAGCAGATGATTCAATTGCAAGCATGCTTTAAGTTATGTAGACAACATTTCAGAACATATTTTCTTGGAATTAGTATTCTCGTTAATGTTAAGCAGATAGTTGTCTAACTCTACTCTCTTGTTTTATTCAGATGAGAAAAAATAATTATGCAGAGAGAGATTAATTATCCTAGCTTAGTTTAAAATTTGATGTCAAGATTCTAAATTTATTCGTAATTTACAAGTTTCATAGAACTAAGCATCAAACTCTAACTTCTCTCCACATTTCCTCATGAGATTAATTGAAATAGCTAGATATCAATCACAGATGGTTTTTTAATAGTTTAGTAGGATTTTGCTGCCAGTTTATCGCTTCTAATCTTCTTTTGATGATGTGATTTAAACGAAACCCTGACTATAAAAGAGACCTCTGAATGGTGTCAATAGTACCATTTTTGGTTATTGATTGAGATAAAAATGTGGAAGCAATAGTTCAATGTTCGCAGTTCGCTAATTAAGATCTTCTTAGTTCCAGGAGAGTTTTAATTACAAGGAGAAGCTACAGAAAAACAAAGGAGTTAGTTCTGTTAATTTTTTGAGAATTCTTTCTAGCTAAGTTTTATTTCGATTGTGTTCCTATCAATTTATTTGATGTGGATTCTTAATGGCCTCCTCTTTTTTTGTGACATCATGCTATTACCTTTTTAAATTGACATTTTGTGAATATTTCCGCAAATCTATTGAGATAATTTTGCACTAGAACTAGTCAAAATTTTATGTTTCCAAACGGTAAAAAGACGACATAATGTTACATCAGATTTTAAAAACTTCGTAGCTTAATCGTTACCACACAAAAGATTAAAAACGAGAAAATCCAAAAGTTCAAAAAACATAAAAGGCCCAACTACACAAAAGCCCATCATATAGCCCTAAAGACCCGACCTGAACTTCACCGAAGCAAATCAATCAACGATCTCCTAACCCGACCTAATTTCACCAAAGCTTGTGAAAGAAGCAATCGCTTAACAATTCTGATCAACAATGGCGGCCACAGCATCCTTGGACTCCTTCAAGAGCTTGATACTATTCTTCAGCTTCTCTCTCTTGCTCGCCACCAACGGAGATTCCTCCAACATCTTTTCAACTCCTCCGCCATCTCTTGGATCCACCATCTCCGCCACAATCTCCTTCTGAAATTGACAGTTTACGAGAGACTTCACAGATAGCTGAAGATACAGAGCAAGGTTATCTACAATTCTCCGTAGGACGATATTCCAGTAGGATGTGATTCTTATCTTCATGTCGAAAGCCGGAATCAGTAAATGAGCGTGATACTTTCGTAGATGCGAGATCTTCACATTCCCAAATCCACTCATAGAGAAGTAGTCAGGTTTGTTCCCATTTTTCAAAACATCATACATGAAGCTCTCTTGTTCACCAGTCTTCTGAGTCCAAGACGTCATATACTCAGGGCTACATGTGTAATCCGTCAGCTTCTCCATCTCAACTATCTCCATCACTCGATTCACAGATTGTTCTTTGATCTTGGATATTAGATTGCGACCGGCTCGTTTGATGGAAGATTGAATCTGTGGGAAATTGTCAGAATGCTTAGAAATGACTGATGAGAGAACAACTTCAATGTAGTCCCATATCTTGTTGATGAATTCAACTGGCTTGTCATGTATTTCATCAACATGTTGTGAAAGAATAGCAAAGAAGGCTGATCTAGGGATGAAATTAGGCAGTCCAACACATTTGCATTCATCAAGAATCTTGATCTCATCCATCAAGAACTCAGTCACATCCTTTGGCTTTGCTTGCAGATCATCAGAGAATTGACTTAACATATCAGCCAAACGAGCAGTACAATGCATGTTTTGATCATCCGGGTATTCAGAGAAGTCTCCTTGGACAAGAATTCTCAATAGAGATTCTTTAGCAGAACCAATAATATTCATCAACGCCATTAATGCTTCCCCTGTAGAAGCCATTACCATTGGTAGCTTGTTTAACTCAAGAACAGCGGTGTCCAATTTCTGGTTGATCTTGCGTACAATATTAGGCAAACATCTGGCAATCATGCTTGCTTGGATAAGCATTAGCTTCTGAGCTAACACAGGGTTTCCCACGATGTCTTCATCAATCAAGCTTAGCACTGGATGAGTCTTGAAAAGTAACTCTTCTTGCATTCTAGCTTCTTCATATGTCTCTTCTCCAATGCGGTTTCTGACGCACACATAACCAAGTACAATACTCACATCATCTGCTGTTACTTTCTGCAAAAGACCTTCAGGAGCCATGTCAGCCTTTGTCACAACAGCCAGAGTACGTTGACCGGTTTTGTCCACTTTTTTAGACATGCGAATGGATTCGCAGGTTGTGAAGTCGACCGTAGCTGAAAGAACGTTGAGGATTATTGATTCTTGAGGCTCAATGTACTCCATAATCATCCCAGAGATCTGCTCATAAATATTTTCCGGTTGACCATTGACCGGAACTCGAGTTATACCGGGAAGATCGACCATTGTAAGATCTGGAACACCAGCCTTCTTCACATGGAGGGTCAAGGGAGCGTCTGAGACCCCTTTACCAGATCCTGCATCACAAGTATTTTATAAGTACTTAATCATTGTCAATACTTGTTAAACCTCAAACTCATAACATTGTAACAGTTATAGCAAAACTTAAAAAAAAATCAGATGAGTAAAGACCAAACTAGTAGTTCATATAACACCTCTAGGTACTTGTGTTCAGATAAATGTCTCATTCTCAATCATCTCTCTTGCAGGTTTGCAACAAAACACACTTGACACTTAGAGAAAGAGAACTTACCAGCAATCACATCTGTCGCAGCACGAATAGCTTCAGCGATGTGTTCCTCGTCCGTAGGAACCACTTTGTCGCTATACTCAAGCCAGATCTCAGGTTCAGGGCTAGAGCTTCGCTGAAGCCTCATGACAAGAGGAACCCTAGTGCAGATTCCTTGCCCACGAGGCAAACTGATTCCTGCCAAGGATTCAAGAACACTTGACTTTCCCGACGACTGGTCTCCAACCACGACAATGGTGGGAAGATGGATCCCTTCTCTCATCACATTGAGGTTCCTTAACCTGTCCACAGTGTCAAGCAACGGCCTGATTTGATCATTATACGAAGATACAATCGGTGCTTCAACAGGAACAACATCTTTGTTGCCACGGGACTTCTTTATGGCAATTGAGAGAGGAGGAGAGGTTTTTTTAGTCACAACTTTCTTCTTACTACTAACCATTTTCTTCTTGAGACAAGACAAGAGTGGGAGAGATAGAGACAGAAAAGAGATGTTTTAAGAGTAAGTGATGAGATTCTTCTAAGAGATATGCAAAGATATATGTATATGGAGATATTAGAAGTAAACGTTTGAGATAAAAGGATGTGAGTAACGTGCATGTTGGAATCTTAAACAAGCTAATTATGTCCATAATTACACCTCTATAGACTATATAGCTCATAGTTGAAACTAAAAAGTCTCCATTAAATCCTTAATTATGTGTATATCAATATTTTACTGGCTTTAATTGGCTAAATTTTCCTATGGTACGTTTCATAATATCAGGTACCGTTTGAAATTGTTACAAAAGGCATAGCTAACAGAGCGTTTTTTATTGATCTCAAGATTCAAGATCTTATTGTTTATGCTCTGCTTTTCTCTGTTTCTTACTTTGTCTTCATTTTCTATACTCTGTTTTTGTCTCTGCTTAATAATCTTTGTAAATGGTTCTTTCTCATTCAAATAAATTTCACATTTAAATAACAAAAAAACAAGAGTGGAAGAGAAGAGACGTAAAAGAGAAGTAATTATAGTCTTCTAGATGTGTAATGGTGCATCTTGTACTCTTGTATTTAAAGGTAAATTCATTGCTTTATATATGTGTGGTATTTTTTTGTTTTTTTTTTCATAGGCAGCAAATGTTTGTAGCATTTAGTATTTAATTTTGTGAAAGTGAAAATTGTATATAGCACCATCGATGCATATTCCTCCTTGGACATCTGTGTAAGAATCTCCGGTGACTTCAATCTTTCTCCACTCTTTTTGTTGAGATCTCAGTGTGAAAACGAAATGCTCCTGTTCTATGTCTTTCCCATAGCGGCCGTAGCCATCGAACACCATCACACATCATCACTTTTCTTCCCAATGAAATGACGCCACATAGCGCCTCTTACAGCAACAAAAAAACCTTAAATTAGAAACGGACTTTGGCTTTTATTTATGTTTGGATTTATATTTGGGCCTTTTATTACAAGAAACTATGGGTAGAGCCCATTGCTGTTGCTCTAAAGCAGAAACTTTCTTTATTTAATAAAATTTTTGATGACTTTCAAAAATTAGATCATTCGTTTTCCATGTTTCCATTAAAACAAGTTTAGGCACTAAGGCTCATATCACTAAAATACCACTAATTCTATTGGCAGGTAGATGATTATCCCAAATTTGACATATTAAATTAATACTTAATCATTGAACTTAGATTTAAAAATACAATGACATTTCTACTATAATTATAATTCTGTAAAGAAAATAATACTATGACACTCACTGCAATTGCATAGCCAAAATACGATTAGAACCAAACCGAGCCAATCCAAAATTGTTCACAGATCATGGTAATTACATCATGGTTAAGCTTGAACCAAAAACATGTTAGGCCGTTACTAAACCAAAAATTTAAAATCTCGGGTTAATTTAATTTTACGTTAAACATTTCGCACATTACAATCGTGACGTGTCCAAACTGAGATTCAAATTTCTATTTTCTAAATGGGCGGCGTTTTTGTTTTCTTGAAATTGGAGTTTTTTTATATAACAAAAACAAAAGTAGAGTTAATAAATAGTCCGTTAGAAGACGATCGTCTACAATTCCCTCTCCGATCTCTCTCATAATTTTGAAACCCTAAATTCTCCTTACCAAAAAAATGACTGTAAATTTTAAGAAGCGGTACTTTCCCGGCGACCTTGCTTAAGCCACCGCCGACTAGAATCTAGAAAAGGCGTTCTCTCAGGTTATCGATTCAAAGGTCAGAGGTTCTTGAATTCTGGATTAGTCGAGTCAATTTCAATTATTCTGGATCTGTTACTTGATTCGATTTACTGTTACTATGTCTCTCTCTTTCTTTATTACTTAATTTGTCATATCGTTACGTTAATCTTCCTGATTTTATGAGCGATCGTTTGATTTTGTCATTTCATTGCTTTTTCAATACCTTCTGATTTATGATTTGTTTGATTTGGGTTTTACAGATCACTAGCGATCGCGAGACTGGGAGATCGAGAGGAATATGATTCGCGACCTTCAAAGAAGAGAACAAGACTGTTGAAAGGAAGCGACGGTTGATGAGGCCGTGGTTGTCTTAGCCGCCGTGAGGGATCTGGTTGCGGTGGTGGTGGGTGGCCGCGGTGAGGGCGGTTACGGAGGCGGTGACGGAGGTTTGTGTTTTTTTTTTTCAATCGAATTTATTATGTTTTTAATTCCACCGTTTCAAATTTCTTGCGTTCGTGTAACTCTGAGAACCCAATAAATTTGATATTGAAATTTACCATCCGTTCCGATCCGATCAATTTTTGGTATACCTTTTCATAATTTGTTGTGTCTTTGGTTGATAACGAAACTTTTAGAAATCAGTCTGGTTGTGGAAACTCATAGTGTTTTATTTGTCTCTCAGTGAATTGGGTTTCTATTAAGAGCAATGGTGATCAGATTTCATTGCAATGGAGATCATATTTCACTTTTGAGTTCTCGATGAAAAGGATTGTCATTGCCACTCGTAGTTTTACAGGTTTGTTGTTTTCATTCATATGTTTAGATTTTTTTCATTCTGCAGTTGTATTGAAACTCGCTTATAGTTATCCAAATGGTGATAGAAAATTTTACAAGAAACTTCTACATTATTTGTGTTCTGTTCATAAGATCGGGCTAGGTCGTAAATTAGATAAGTGAAAAAATATTGTACTTACTCATTTATTTTGATCTTAAAAGACTATATATATGAGTTAATTTCTCTGGTATCTTGTGTTCTCTTTTCTCAAATTTTTGTGTAGGAAGCAATTGACGATTCTGTTTCCTTTGGAAGGAGTTTGATGTTGTGTCACTTTTCTTCTGCAACAACAAATTGCAGAGCCAGAAAATTCTTATGGTTTGTTCGCAATCATTCAACCAAATGCATACACATACATGCACACATACATCCATGCAGTCATTCATACACACATACATACATACATACATACATACATACATACATACATACATACATACATACATACATACATACATACATACATACATACATACATACATATATACATACATGCATACATACATAAATGCATACATACATACATAATCTACATTGCACATATTCATAATTCTTTCTCTGTTTCTTTGAGTCGTTGTTTACTTACTTGATTCCTTAATTCTTTATCTGATTGTTTGCTTGCTTTACTCCTTTTACTTCTTCATTCCTTGTTTTGTTACCAACTTCAGAGATTTGTTGTTTACTTCCTTGTGTGCGTGCTTGCTTCCTTAATTCTTTGTCTGATTCTTTGTTTTACTCCTTTTATTTCCCCATTCCTTGTTACCAGCTTCAATGGTTTGTTGTTTGTTGCTTCCTTGATTCCTTGTTTACTTACTTCTTTGTTTCCTTGCTTCCTCATTAGCTTCTTGCTTCCTTGCTTTCTTGCTTACATGCTTAACTTGATTCCTTGCTTACGTGCTTAATTTCTCACATACTGTCTTTTCCTTAACTACTTGAATTTCTTTTCCTTATTTTCTAACTTGCTTGCTTATTTGCTCACGAACTGTCTCAGTTTATCAAATATGTGTTTTATTTGAGATAGTTGTAGGACTATTTCAAAGTCCTTCAGAGCAACCAATCAGCTAAGTTATAACTGTCTTAACTTGTCAGACCAAAGAAACTAAGCTAGACAAAGTTTATTTGATTCTCTCTTATCTTTCATTTTTAAGATTCAATGTGCAGTGCCAGAAGTTTCTAGAATATTTTCATCTTGGAGTTAAACATTACATTCCGACAACAATGAACTCCCACTTGTAAGTTTTATAACTCTTATTAAGGCTCCATGAATTTTTTTCTTCTTTTATGGAAACAACAACAACAATCTATTTTGAAAAATAGGCAAATTTTATGTTTGTTGAAGGTGTTGGTGGCTGAGACAAGCTCACGAATCATTAGAAAATGTAGTACTCATCGATCTCTATAAGGTAAATAAACTCTAACCGAGACCATTCTCTTGTTTCTCTCAGTTATTGTTATTAGATCGTAGAATTGACAAAATTGGATCGGAATTTTGAGCAGAAATGTGGAACTACAAAAGAGCAAGTTTAGCTATTGAAGCAAATTTTGGATTATATCAGGGAGAGGCATTCAATGGAAAACCAACAAACACTACGAGATCTCATGGAAGGAAATTTCAGGTCACGGTCGAGAAGGAAACATCTAGGATCTTGGTAAGACTAATCCCACTAGTCTTTAGTTTTGATTAGATTTCTGAATTCTCTTGTTCAATGAACTGATGGATTTAAATGTGATGTTACAACAGCTGAAGCTGTGTATCGGTAAACTCAAGTGATAGAGCCAGATGCAAACAAGGCTTGTAAAAAGTTGGCAAATATAAAGTGCATGGTCAAGTCTTACTAAAGTGGCTAGAAGGAATGGAGAAAAATCTTTTCAAAGGAAAGGTTTATAAAATACTGTTTTATAAACGTAGTATGCCCAAGATGCATCTTTGGTGCCTCAAATCTAAATTTCATATTTTCGCGACTTCATCTTCTCTCAACATGCAAATAGCTCTTGCTAGTACATTAACTTTATTGCGTTTCTGCAACCATACATACTAATTGTGAAATATTAAGATTTGTTTCTATGTATTCTTGTCTTTTTTTCAGAGTCAAGTTGGTATTATATTTGAGGCTTCGGTTGGAGATGCTTATCAAGAAATGTGGCATGAAGATTGTCAACTCTGCAAAGCCTGTGGAACAGATGAAACTCTTGATAAACACGAAAGGTTTGCTTACAATGTTCAAAGTTGTATAGATTTCAGTATTTGTGTTAACTCACATCTCTCTTGGTTCATCTCAGATTAAGGAAGGTAAGGAGAAACTATATATGCAGCTGGCTCTAACATAAGTAGATCGGAACATTCAAAAGAAACTTCATTAAAGTACCTTTCCAACTCGATTGACAAAGTCTCTCATAGAAGTTTCTGAGTGCTCAAGTACTGATGTTCTTGGTATCTGTTTTCCAGGACTAGTGGGTGGAAGATATTTTGGATGAGGTCAACGATGGAGACAGTAGGATGCGAGTTGCGTGGCCATACGCTTCCTCTTTTTCAAAATATAATGCATCGCTTTGAGGTTGGTTGTTATATACACATTTTGGCTTGCTATTCGTTTGGATCTATCTATGGTTGTTATCTATTCGATCAACGTTTTGGTGCCATATTACAGATTCAAGTATATTCAGAACCAGAGTCTTCTTGAAGTGGATTAGTCAGACGATGAACCACTTTGAACAAGTGAGGTATGCAAATGAGTTAGATGATCAACCTCTTTGAATAAGAGTTTGATGCGGAAGGACTTCTAATCATTTGTGAAGATCTCATGGCAAGAAATTTCAGGTCACGGTCGAGAAGAAAACCACTAGGATTTTGGTAAGATTAATCTCACTAGTCTTTAGTTTTGATTAGATTTCTGAAGTCTCTTGATCAATGAATTAATGGATTTGAATAAATGTGGTGTTGTAGGGAACTTTGGATGGGCTTATATGCAACTAAAGGACTATACAACAGCTAAAGACGTGTATTTGAAAGCTACCAGAAGGAATGTTGGCAAACATAAAGTGCATGGTCGAAGTCTTACTAAAGTTGTTGCAAGGAATGGATAACCTTTTCAAAGCAAAGGTGTGCTTCTAATACCTGTTTTAGAAACGCAATATGCCTATTGCCTAATCTTTGTTGTCTCGAATTTAAATTTCATATTTTCGCAACTTTACGTTCTCTCAAACATGTAAATGTTGAGTTCCTGCTAGTACATTAACTTTATTGTGTTTCCGTAAACATACATACTAGTTGTAAACATCTATATTAACATTTGTTTCTGCGGATTCTTGTCCTTCTTTCAGATTCAGGTTGGAGATGCTTATAACCTAATATGGTTTGTGAAGCCTAAAGAAACATATGAAACTTCTGAAAAACCCGAAAGGTTTGCTTACAATGTTCAAAGTTGTCTAGATTTCAGTATTTGTGTTAACTCACATCATCTCTTGGTTCATCTCAGATCAAGGAACGTAAGAAGAAAATATATGCAGCTGGCTCTAACATAAATAGATCTCAACATTTAAAAGAAACTTCATCAAAGTACCTTTCCAACTCAATTGACAAATTCTCTCATAGAAGTATCTGAGTGCTCAAGTCCTGATGTTCCTGATTTCTGTTTTACAGGACTAGTTGGTGGAAGATATTTTGGATGAGGAAAACGAGAAGACTATATGGATGCGGAGTCGCATGGTATCGCTTTGAGATTGGTTGTTATATACACATTTTGGCTTGCTATGCGTTTGGATCTATCTATTCGATCGACTTAAAGGTTCCATATTACAGATTCAAGTATATTCAGAACCAGAGTCTTCTTGAAGTGGACGAGTCAGACGAGGAACCACTTGACACAAAACAAGATCAGCTCTTTGAACAAGTAAGGTTTGCAAATGAGTTAGATGATGAACCTCTTTGAACAAAAGTTCGATGTGGAAGGACTTCTAATCATCCGTGAAGGATTTATCTGATATAGATTTGGATGTCAGTAATAACCAAGGTAGATGTTTCTTTGTAAACTAATCGAGGAAGAACATTTCTGGAAAGACAAGGATCAAAATCTATGATCATTCTTCTTTAGTAACTCTAGGGCTTATATATATATATATATACACACACATATACAAGGTATTCTAGTTTGTATCTAAATATTTTACTTGTTGGTTTCAGTTGTTCAGGGTTTCAGATATTGGCGTAAGAAGGCTGTCAAGTCCGTGAAGCCTAAGGAACATATAAAACTCCTGAAAAACTTAAAAGGTTTGCCTATAATGTTCAAAGTTGTCTAGATTTTAGTATATGTGTTACGCTTTACATCTTCTCTAGATTCATCTCAGATCAAAACTCATGGTGACAAAATATGCAGCTGGCTTTGACATATAAATCACAACATTCCTATGAAGTTTCTGAGTGCTAAAGTATAGATGATGTTCTTGGAGGCCTTGATTTGATCTCTGGAGTTATCTTCTAGTTTCTTAAGTTCAATCATTATCCCAGGTATATCTTTAATCTTTTTTAGCTGCGTAGTATTTCGTTTCTTCTCTTATCACTTGAATTTATCATCTCTTTTATTTTTATGTTGTAGCAGATTTCATAGCCAAACGAACTTTGTGAACCAAAAGAAGCTATGTGGTGAGTAAACAGGTATAGACCATTTACTTTAACAATGCTGTCTTTCCTTTGACAGCGTGATATCCCAACACATTGCATGTATGCATCCACTCATGTACACATGCATATATTCATGTTTGCATACATATATACGCATACATTTATACATACATGCATATATTCATGTGTGCATACATACATACATACATACATACATACATACATACATACATACATACATACATTCATGTATATTTTGCTTCTCAGTTCATTGTTTGCTTCTTTATTTACATTGTTAACTTGTTTTACTGGTTCTCTTCTATGTTTATTTTGCTTATTTCATTGCTTAACTTGGTTGCTTGTTTCTTTTACTGCTTGTTTACATGCTTCCTGCTTTGTTCCTTTGATCTTTGCTTACTCAATTGCTTCATTCATTTCTTAACTTGCGTGCTGCTTTGATTCTTTGATTCCTTTTTTATTTCACTGTTTGCTTACATGCTTAACTTGTTTCCTTCAGTAATTGTTTTGCTTATCTAGTTCACTTCTTCCTTCTTTGTGTCTTTCATTGCGACCAATTCACATATTTTTATGATGATTCGATAGTCGCTTTTGTATTCACAAGTGATTTATTAAAGTATAGAATCAATTAAAGTTGGTTTATGTCAACCTTGTATTGGTTTAATGTCTGATTTACTCTCATACTATTTAAGAGACGATATTGTAATCACTTTGGTTAAGATAATTAATGAGAATGAGTTTGTTGCTTTTACTCTCTAACAAACTTTTCTCGATCTCGATAATCCTCTAACATGATTGAAAAAGACATACAAATTATATTTCAATGTTAATTTGTAAACAAAAGTACATTGTTGAAAGTATTATCTTTTAAAAGCTTTTGCCCTTATTAATCCGATTTGTACCAAAAAGAATAATATTAAACTGAGTTTTATGCAATCTGAAATTGCACCAGACCCTGAATTAAAAAAAAAGGAACCTAAACCTCCTCAACTACATATCCTACCGCGTTCAATCATATGATTCATATCCCCGCATCCGTAACTCCGGTGACACAATCCAACACAGTCAAAACGCTGTCATCTCAACTGCCTAGAACCTCACCCTCATCAAAAATTTTACGTGCATAAAAAGCATGACATTCACTTGATATAATGCTATGCTAAATATACACCACACCACAAATTCACGTTTTATAATACATCAAAAACCATTGAGACGACGTTCATTGAGTAAAAGTAATCGAAGCAATTAGTCACATTGAAAGGAATGTTCACAAACCAGATAAGTACTTCGACTAGATACATCAAATATCTTTAATATCCATCTATACATGCAATTCACTTTTCTAGAATCAAGCAATGTGCTCTTCCTTCTCTCTGCACATGCAGTTCACTTTTGAAGTTGTGCTTCACCCTAGCTTTTCGGATAGAGTTGCCACGAGATCTTCCCGAGCTTTCGCTAAGGCACTTGGGAGATTTTCAGGCTTTCTGCCGCCTGCCTGAGCAAAACTGGGTTTTCCACCACCTCCTCCGCCACATAGCCAATGAATTTCCCTGCTTGAATTCCTAGAGAGACTACTCCAACTAAACTAACCTTGTCTTTTTCTGGCGATGAACCAAATGAATTAAACATTCACATGAAGACTTTTAGTTGAAATTATAGTTTCTTTGATCTTTACTTAATTGCTTCATTCATTTCTTAACTTGCGTGTGCTGCTTTGATTCTTTGATTCGTTTTTTATTTCACTGTTTGCTTACATGCTTAACTTGTTTCCTTCAGTAATTGTTTTGCTTATCTTGTTTACTTCTTCCTTCTTCGTGTCTTTCATTGCGACCAATTCACATATTTTTATGACGATTCGATAGTCGCTTTTGTATTAATTAAAGTATAGAATCAATTAAAGTTGGTTTATGTCAACCATGTATTGGTTTAATGTCTGGTTTACTCTCATACTATATAAGAGACGATATTGTAATCACTTTGGTTAAGATAATTAATGAGAATGAGTTTTTGTTGCTTTTACTCTCTAACAAACTTTTCTCGAACTCGATAATCCTCTAACATGATTGAAAAAGACATACAAATTATTTTTCAATGTTAATTTGTAAACAAAAGTACATTGTTGAAAGTATTATCTTTTAAAAGCTTTTGCCCTTATTAATCCGATTCGTACCAAAAAGAATAATATTAAACTGAGTTTTATGCAATCTGAAATTGCACCGGACACTGGATTAAAAAAAAAAAAAAACCTAAACCTCCTCAACTACATATCCTTGAGTTCACCCAACACAGTCAAAACGCCGTCGTCTCAACTGCCAAGAACCTCACCCTCATCAAAATCTTTACGCGCATAAAAAGGAAAAATACTTGGGTTCACCCTAGCCTCTTTTATTCACCTCTAGGGGTGAACCTCTTATGTTCACCTCCTTTATTTCATCCAATCAAAATCTGGCATCTAATAATAATAATAAAAATTCATTTAACTATAAAATTTAATTTGCCACTAAAACGAAATTATGTATCGGTTTACGTTTATTAGAAAGGGTTAGGATTTAGATTTTATGATTAAACGAGGTTAACTATCGGTTTGGATTTATAAACGGGTTTAGATTTTATAATTAAACGAGGTTAAATGTCGGTTTGGGTTTAAAAAGTACGATTAGGGTTTAGATTTTTTTACGATTAAACGAGTTTAAATGACGGTTTGGGTTTGCAAAGGAGAATTAAGGTTTAGATTTTGTAATTGAACGAGATTACGAAATTATGTATAAAGGGTTAGGGTTTAGATTTTATGATTAAACGAGGTTAACTATCGGTTTGGGTTTATAAACGGGTTTAGATTTTACAATTAAACAAGGTTAAATGTCGGTTTGGGTTTAGAAAGTACGATTAGGGTTTAGATTTTTTACGATTAAACGAGTTTAAATGACGGTTTGGGTTTTCAAAGGAGAATTAAGGTTTAGATTTTGTAATTAAACGAGATTATATATCGGTTTGGGTATAAAAAAGTGGTTATGACTTAATCTTATTGTTTTATTTAGAAAGTATTAATTGTTTTAATTTTTTGAAGTAGATGACATGGTAAATTCTAATTGGATAATTAAAAGGGGGTGAATGAAACTGGTTCACCTTTAGGGATGAACCCAAGAATTGCATGACATTCACTTTATCTATACTATTATTTTTGCAACACTTTGGTGACAGGTGGATAAAAATGCTTTTGGGTTAATCGGATATCCGACCAGTTTTTTAAAATCCTTCACAAAAAATTTGTTGGGTCAGGTTATATTTAACCCAACTCATACACCGGATATTCCATATTTAATAATTTAGATATTTAGAAGATTTGATTAAGATTTAGAATTATGATTCTCCTATCATCTTTGTTTGATTTGTTTTTAACTGTTTTGAATCATCATATAATACATAAAGTAAAAAAAAAAAATCAATTTTTTTCTACATATACTGTGATTCGAAATTTTAAAAACGGACATATATTATCTAATTGACGAAAATATGTGTTCAACGTTCTACATCGATTAAAATATTTAGACAATGATTCAGAATCATATCATAAATAAGATCAACATTAATAAAATAAATGAGTTTTTTGGCCGGACGGGTTTGGCGGGACGGGTTTTTGAATCAACAATAATAAAAAGATTAAAATATCATTAATCTGCCGCTTCAATACGGATTAAATCTTTATTTTGTTTTAATACCACCAATATTAGACATATTAAATCAGTCTCAATTAGAAAAGATTATATAAAACCAAAAATTGTCCCGTGGTATAATGTTACTTAATAACAATATTTATAAAATTTTAAATATCATTAACATGCCGCTTTAATACATATTAAATCTTCAGTTTATTAAAATATAAATATCTTAGAGAATGATATGATTTGTAAACTTTTATATATAATAAATAATCATTAAATTTTAAAATAAAAATAAATCACGGGACGGGTTAAGAAATTACGGAACGAGTTATATTTCGGAAAGGATTTATATGGCGGACGAATTTGAATCAATATTTATATACCGCTTTAATACGGGTTAAATCCTCAGTTTATTAATAATTGTCTCGTGGACTCGTGATATACCGTTACTTAATAACAATTGTAAACTATAATATAAATAAATATGCTATAAGGAAATACAAATCACAAAATATTTTTATACTAACTTTAAAATTAACTTGATATAATGTTATGCTAAATATACACCACACTACAAATTCACGTTTTGTAATACATCAAAAACCATTGAGACGACGTTCATTGAGTAAAAGTAAATCGAAGCAATTAGTCACGTTTGATAATATCAGGTACCGTTTGAAATTGTAACAAAAGGCATAGCTAACAGAGCGTTCTTTATTGATCTCAAGATTCGAGATCTTATTGTTTATACTCTGCTTTTCTCTGTTTCTTATATAGCGTGGATAACTTGTTTATTGCTTTTCTCGCGTTTTATAATTGAACCTAGCTTTTTCCCCAAAATTGATTTTGTTTAGGGTTTTAATAAACCACAAATCGAACCCTCTTTTTCAAAAGAAGGTTCAATTCGGATTAATAGATCTTGGTCGGGTCAACGGTTTAATCAAGGATAATCGATTTTAAAACGCGATTTATCGATTTTAAACCATATTTGTGACGCTTAATTGATTTTGGTTAATTAGACGGAATTATATAAGATTGGGTAGAATTGAGAAGAATATATGTGGTTTATGGGGAACGAGAAAGAGGCTAAAAATATAGGGGCACCTAGTTGAAATGCTATATTACAGGGGGACAAAGGCAAACTGCCCTATGATTTTAGATTGTGACATGTATCTTGATTTAATTTAAAGTTTTGCATTATGACTTTTAATTTATTTTCCTAATTTGAAATACGTGATGATTTAAAATAACATTTTCTATTGTTTATTGGAATTTTCGTTTGCGGTAAAGAATATGTAAGATCAATATATGATTCTTTATGATAATTTTAATATACTTGTAGTATATTTAGATTGTTTATTTTAATTTATGGAGATTTTTAGAGGTAGTGGTAAAAAGCATTATTCTTATAATTAATTTTACATTTTTAAAATTATTTAAATTTGTAATTACTTTCAATTATCTTTTTTTTTTTATTTTAAAAAGGAAAATTTTGTTTTACACGTGTCAAAATCTAAGATCGATAGATTTGACACGTGTCACGATCATATGAGTTATTAACTTTGAAAACCATACTTTATATAATAAGATGGGTTCTCAAATGCTACTAATACTTTTTTTGCTTGACATTTTGAGAATATTTCCATAAATTGAGATAATTTAGCGTTTATAGTCAATTAAATAAAAGATATATCCATAATGCATGTTAAGCCTATTATGAAAAGATAATTTTTTATACAATTTAAATATGTCCATAATGCATGTCAAGTCTATTAAAAATTAAAAACTTTTAAAATAAAAAATAGAATATGTAGGCTGTTAAAGAAAAAGGATCTAAAAGTCTGTTTAGAGGAAAATTGCTTGTCAAAGTTGTAACAAATTGATAAATTCAAAAGAAAAAAAAAAAAGATATAGCACCGACTAATCGCCCTCGTGGAGTTTTATTCTTGGAATGGGCCTTCTCGTTTTGGGCTTTTTGCTTTTCAAATTTTGAAATCTTCGGTATCATATACACATTTAATTAAATTTAACGGAATAAAATTGAGCCATTATAAATATAAAGTTGAAAGAAGAAAACGAAAAATAGCCGTTCGAATTTCGAAGAGCGCTTGGGTCTTCTTCTCTCGCTTCATGAACAGTATGTTTCTAATCCAAATCTTCTTTTGGTTTCTTTGTATGAAAGACTTTTTGGAAGAGTATTCAAATTCTTTGGGTATTCTCTCAAATCTCGTGTGATTTCTCTCTGTAATTTCGTTTTTGTCTTGTCTATTTTCAAGATTTTGAATCGCTTTTAGTCTCTTGATCTGGGTTTGTTTTAGATTTCAGTGCCGATAACAATTGATTGATAAATTAGGGATTGTAGTTGTATTTTCGTTGATCGTTTCTATAGTCATAAGTCATAACATAAACATAGCGAGAATCGAAGTGATTCATGTTGATTTATGGCTGTTTAGAAACCCTAATGTTATGCAAACTTGGGTATTGATTGAATTCCTCTAATTTTTATATAGCGGCTTGAATTTCTATGCAGAAAAAAGTAATTCTGATGTTTGGGGACAAACCCTAAATTTCCGCTACTCGCTTCTATGGACGCATCCTCCGATAACTACATATCTATTCACCACCATGAAAAAGGTACAATTTTGTGCTTCTTTCTCGCTGAATGTTACCCATACAATTTTTTTTTTTCTTTCCAAAATCAATTTGTTCAATTGTCTTCTGGGAATTTTGGTTCGTAGTTGTACCAAGAAAGCTACGAAGTTGATCACAAAGCTTTTAGAAATCATTCAGGCGGTGGACAGGACATGGACCTATCAGAATTCGTACCAAAATTTGTCATGTCAGTTTTTGTCTTTTATTTATTTATTCACGGTATGTTCTCTTCAATCCTCTTCTTCTTCTTGGTCTTTTGAGTTTGTTTCTACAGGTTGATGTTGTGTCTCGTTTCTTTTGCAGCAACAAATTTCATAGTCTTATGTGACATATCTCAGAAACAAGAGAATGTTATATAGGTTCTTCTCCAACACATAAAGAATGCATATACATATATACATGCACATACATCTACATTCATACATATATGCATACATGTTTGCATACTTGATTACTTGTATAAATTCACTCTTAGTTCCATCTTTCATTATTTATCTACTTGCTTTCTTCATTCTTTGTCTGCTTGTTTGCTTATTTATTGATACCTTACTAGCTTCCTTTGTGCTTGCTTTCTTTCTTTCTTACTTGGCTTCGTTGCAAGCTTCTTCAATTACATGCTTCTCAATTTACTGTTTATTTAGTTGCGTGTGTTTGCTTCCTGCCTTGGTTGTCTGCTTTCTTTCTCTTCCTTGATTTCTTGTTCCTTGCTGAGTTGTGTGCTTTATTACTTGTTCCTTGATTCCTAGTATACTTCCCTGCTTGCTTCCTCACTTTCTTTCTTGCTTGCTTCCCTTTTTTTTTTTTTTAAAAGTCATAGCTCAGTTCCTATCTTCTTATATTACTACCTTACTTTGTTGTTTATTTATATTCTGTTTTCCTTGGTTGCATGTGTGTGTGTGTGTGTGCTTGTTTGCTTTTCTTGTTCTCTTCCTTAATTCCTTGTTCCTTGCTGAGTTATGTGCTTTCATTACTTGCTTCCTTGATTTGTTGATTATTTTCTTACTTGTTTCCTTATTTTCTTTCATGGTTCCTTACTTAATTTGCTTACTTTCTTCATTGACTTTTTCCTTATTTTCTTTTCATGGTGACCACTTGTTTACATTGATCATGTATCTTTGATTAATCTAACAGTTTTTAAGTGAAAACAATCACTGAAATGCAGGATCTCCACTCGGTGATGTACCAAAACTGAATGGACTGTCTTATCGGCAATAACCATCTTTCAATTATTCATTCAAATTTGGTATTACTACTTAATCTTTGCTTGAACAAAAAAGTTGGGCCAGACGAACTAAACTAGAAAAAGTTTTATCATTCGTTTTTTGGAACTTGTAAACAGTGTCAAAGAACAAGGATTGTTGGGAAAACAAGGTGGCTAGGAATCCACGCAAAACCTTTGCGTACCACTTGTAAGTTGCCATATTATTAAAATCAAGGTAGAAACACAATCTTTAATACACATGCTTGGGTCTTCAATTCATTTTTCATAATGTTAATTTGTATAAATCTGTGCAGATGTTAAACTGTTTTATAACTAGAAATACATTTGTAAAACCTATTTGTATGTTGTTGTACGATTTGCAGCTTAAAGCACTACAATCAATAGCTCTGAAAAGGGACACAATGTTACATAGAAGGTAAAAAGTTTGACTACAATGGTTTTGAAGTTATTTGTAAATAATAATCTTTTGATATGTTCTTAAATCATAATCACATAGTATATGCAGTTATTCACAGGTCCATCAAAAAAGAGAACGTCTAGAGTTCCATCTTCAAGCGTCTTAAGTTGGACCCTTTCTCGCAGGTATTTGTCTTCACTTTTTTCTTTTACTTAAATCTTCCATTTTTTATTTTGTAGTAAGTTACATTCTCTTTGTCTGCTTTTATGGTTTGTGTCTACTTTCAGTTGCTTATCTTAGGATTAGGTCCTGGAAAGCAATGGACATATAGTCTATCCGCAATGGACATATACCGAATCAGATTAGGAAGGTATTGCAGTTTAAACTTGTCTTAATCTATATATAGTGAGTCCAATCAAAAGAAACCAACAAAGGATTATGAGTTTACATGTACTGTTATAGGCTAGAAAGTGGAAATTGCTGGAAGAGCTTGCGTCTTTGAGTAACACGCTATGCAAACCACTTTGTAAGTTATCATTTTTTTTCATCTCAAACAAATTCTCAGACATAAGACTATTCATTTTTTTGTAATCTTAGTATTAATGATGTTAAACTATTTCATATCCACATTGAAACTGATGCTACACCTCTGCAAACCACTTTGTAAGTTGTCGTTTTATTCATCTCAAACAATTCTCAGACATAAACTATTCGTTTTTTCCGTAATCTCATTAGTGATGGGTCGTCTTGATGTTAAACTTTTGTAGCGTAACCATTATGTAGCTCTGAAAATAGGTTAGTTGAAGTTACAGAGAAAAGTCAAGAATTGGTGCAGCATACCAATCAATGGAAGGTAATTCAATAGAAAAAAACTGAAACAGTCGTTTTGATGATTTTGATGTGTTCTCAAATCAGAAGGACATAATGTATTCCCATCTTTTGCAGATCAAAATGTTTGGAAGATAACCTCTATAGATCATCTAATTTCTTAAGTTTAATTCTTCTAGATATGTCTTCAATCTCTTTTTTATTTATTTAGTCTTAGTCTCTTTCTTTTACTTAATCTAACCCATTACTGTCTTTATGCTTTTCAGGTATACTTGCTTCACAACTTGCAAATACTGCTCAATACAATAACAAATCAAGACATGTTCTTACTCAAAAGTAATTTCCTTTGCTTAAATGCAACTTCAAATCAATCTGCGACACTGTTAGAGTATTTGTTAACCAGTTTCTCAAACTGTTTTAGGATTGTAAAGAGGAAGGTGACATAAGTTTTGATAAGCTACAAGACAGATCTAATTTGTCTAGAAGGATCTGGTCACATATATATCTGTTTTGTATATGTGTCGTAAAAAATGTCTCCGATACTTTTTCACAGCGTTATTTGCATATCAAACCTAAAGTTATTAATCATTTCCTATATGTTTTTTCTTTCTCATATTAGGTGTTAATATGCCCAAACTATGATGATGGTGGATCATCTCAAACGATCTTTGCCACATACCTATTAATCTCGTAAGTAGTTTTTTCGAAACTTTGTCACATCTTTACTTATGTTAACAAGTGAGATTTCTATATCCAAATTAAATTTATTAACAATCTCGTTTTTGTGTGTTCTTTCTCATTGTAGGTGTCATATCTAAACTATGGTAGTGATGGTAAGGTCATTTCTGAAAATGAACGTGTGCAGAAAATCGTTTTTTATTTTTGTTATATATCATTCTTTTGGTTTTGTTATTTAAATATATGATTCCAATCTTTACGTTTCTGATTTTTGGTATATAGGTTTATGCTCCCAAGATAGATGTACATAAAATTCAAATGAATTGCATAAAGCTGGTATATTTGGGTACGTTGTCAATGGTAATTATGTTATTTATATTGGTTACTTGGAAAGTATTTGCTCTACTCATGCTCTACTTAAAGCACTCAGAATTGATCATGTATCTTTCGATTAATCTAACAATTTTTAAGTGAAAACAGTTGAAGTAAACATTGAAATGCAGGATCTCCACTCGATGATGCACCAAAACTGAATGTCTGTCTTGTCTGCAGTTAACTTCTTTTGATCATCCTGTCAAATAAGGTATTGTTACTTAAACATGTCTTGAACAATAAAAAGTTGGTTCAGACGCTCTAAACCAGAAAAATGGTTATCATTTGTTTCCGGAACTTGTAAACAGTGTCGAGGAGCTAGGATTGTTGGGATACCAAGGTGGTTAGGAATCCGTGAAAAACCTCTGCATACCATTTGTAAGGTGTCATTGATAACAACCTCTGCATACCATTTGGTAGCAAGGCAATCTTTAATACCCATGTATGGGTCTTCGATTCATTTTTCGTACTGGTAATTTATGGTCATCTGTACAAATTTCTGCATATGTGAAATTATTTTATATCCAGAAATACATTGGTGAAACCTATTTGAATGTTGTTGTACGATTTGCAGCTTAAAATACTACACTCCATAGCTCTAAAAATTGAACACGATGCTACATAGAAGAAAAAAAAGTTAATTCAGTAGAAAACGACATAGAGGTTGATTACAACGGTTTTGAAGTTATATGTAAACTATTAAAATTTTATTTGTTCTTAAATTACAATCACATAGTGTATGCAATTATTTGCAGGTCCATAACAAAAGAGACAACGTCTAGAGTTCCATCTTCAAGATTCTTAAGTTGGACCCTTTCTCGCAGGTATGTGTTTTCAATTTTTTCTTTTACTTAATCTTTTGTTTTTTTCTTTTGTAATAAGTTACATTTCTTGTCTGTTTTTATGTTTTGTGTCTATATTCAGTTTCTTATTTTAGGATAAACTATTTTATCTCCACCCTGTGATGATCAAGTCCTGGAAATCAATGGGCATATAGTCTTATCTGCGATGATCACTTGTCTACAACCAAAATTACATATACTAAATCAGGTAAGGAAGGTATTACAATTTAAACTTGTCTTAATTTATATATAGTGAGGCCAATCGAACTAAACCAACAAAGGATTATGAGTTTACATGCACTGTCATTGGCCAGAAAGTGGAAATTGCTGGAAGAGCTTGCATCTTTGATTAACACTTGCTACGCCTATCCAAACCACTGTGTAAGTTGTCATTTTATTCATCTCAAACAAATTCTCAGACTTAGATGTTAAAACTATTTCATATCCACATTGAAGCTGATGCTACTTTTTGAACATGTAGCACAAAGATCCCCATTATATAACTTTAAAAATAAGACAACTGAAGTAACAGAGAAAAGTCAAGAGTTAGGAGCCCGAAATCAATTTGTGGAAGGTAATTCAATTGAAAAGACTGAAACCTATGCTTATGATGTGTTTTCAAATTAGAAGCACATAATGTATTCCCATATTTTGCAGATCAAAATGTTTGGCAGACAACTTCTAGAGATCCTCTAGTCTCTTAACTTTAATACTTCTTCCAGGTATGTCTTCAATCTCTTTATTCTATTTAGTCTTCAATTTTTCTCTAATAGTTTGAATTTAGTCCCTTTTGTTGTTATGAAGTATTAGATTTCAAAGCCAATGTGTCTAACGCGTAAACGAAAAAGTTCTACATATAGGTACTACGATCGGATTACGCCTTCGACGGTATAATATTTGACACCCAAATACTTTAACAATAATCTCCTTGATTTCATTTGATAGTGTGAGCTCGGTCTATCTCTTGAATCTTTGAACATATTCCATGCATACACACACATACATACATACATACATACATACATACATATGTTCATGCAAACACATACATAAATATTCATGCATATATGCTTCTTTGAATATTTGCTTTGTTTATTGCTTCTTTGCATAAATGCTTAATTTGTTAAGTTGTTTATTCTTTCCTTCTTTTATTTACTTCATTACTTTTTTCTTTCCTTGATTGCTTTCTTACCTGCTTAACTTGTTTACTTTCTATCTTATTTGCTTTTATTAATACTTCTGCTTAAGGCATTGCTTGTTCTTTGCTTCTTTGTTTAGTGCACATTGCTTGCTTCTCTGCATTGTTGACTTCTCTGTTTAGTTCATTTCTTGCTTCTTCTCTGATGTGGCTTGTTTCTTTGCTTTATGTATTGTTTGTTTCTTTGCTATATATGTTGAACTTGCATACTCCTGTAACTTGCTTTCTTAATTTCTTATTTGATTTTATTGTGTGAGTCTAACTATATGTCTAACATAGATTTTATATATAACTAGTATTTATTACTTTTTTTTTGTTAATTTATTGCGATAAGTATTATTAACTTATTCACACACTACCTCCCTACTGTCCAACATGAATTTTGAATTTTATTTAATCTTTTAAAAAAGTTATTACGACTAGCATTGTTATATACTTTTACATCTTTCTTTTATTCCTTATGCTTACTATTTTCAGCAGCAATAGAGACTTGAGAGATTTTGTAGGAGTATAAATTTGTAATATGATCATGTAAGAATTCTAGATTCGATGACATTATGTACGAACGATTATTTGTTTATATTGAAATAAATAAGATTTAATTGACTATGTTTTTAGCTCACAAATAGCAAAGAATACTCTATCAAACAACAGATTAATTGTTTCTATTTTTGTGATAAAAAAAATTACAAATCAACCAATTTTTCTAAAATTTAAACTACACACATACACAATTGTAACGTTAGCTCAACAAAAAAATAAATAACTAAAAATAGAGGATTTACATTCTATTAAAAGTTACAAATAAAATTTGTTATTTGCCAAAAAAAAAAAAGATTTAACATTTTAAGGATTTTATAAAGTTTTTGTCGACATTTGTATTTTTTTTTTTCTAAGGTTTAAAATAAATTTTATTAATTTTCTATAATTTATGGTAAAATTTTCCCGGAGCCGTCGTCTGCGTTAAGACTTGGGAACAAATTAAAGCTGATGATCTCCGGTCAAGTACTCCTCTCGACGACTCAAACACATATTTTACGAATTCGAATTTCAAGTTTCCGATTCTCTAAATCAATTGATTCCACTTTTCCTCAGATGAGAAAAGCCCTAATTTTGATCCTCTAAGTCACACATGGGTGCGAACGAGTTTCGTTTCTTCCTCTCCTGCGATATCAATTCGCCCGTCACTTTTCGTATAGAGAAGCTTGACGGAAACCTCCCCGTCAAGAAATCTTCTGATTCCGGTACTCAAAAGATTTTGATCTCCCACAATTACCGATTGAAAGAAACTTTAATTGATTCTCTTAATCCCTAATTTTGGTGTAATGGGAACTTGTTTTGTTAATTGGTGTGTGAAATTTAAGAATTTATGTCGGAATTGGCTTATTACTGCAAATTGGTTCAGTTCTTGAGATGAGTTGGTTTTATTTGTGTGTGTGTGTGTGTTTTAGGAGTTGTCTCCGTCGCAGAGGAGAAAAAACCTGAGCTTTACATTGAGTGTGCATTGTATATTGATGGAGCTCCTTTTGGCCTTCCCATGAGAACAAGGTTTCTTTTTCTCATAAATTTTTATTCCCTATAGTGTTGTGTTGTGTTTAGATGATGTTGATGACTCTTGTAGAAGTGCTTTATGTTTCATGGAGCTCTGTTCTTAATTCCAGATTGAAAACTACAGGACCTCCATACTGCTGGAACGAACTCATCACTCTCAGTTCTAAATATCGGGACTTGACTGCCCATTCACAACTTGCGATTACAGTAAACATATCTATGGCCTTATTGCTTCTTTTATGGTACCTTCTCGCCTAGTTACTTCCTCCTTTCTCTGCTTATCGAAAAGTTTTTGCTCATACCAGGTATATGATGTTTCGTGTGGTAAAACTGAGGGACTGATTGGTGGGGCAACAGTCCTTCTATTTAACAGCAAGATGCAAATGAAATCAGGAAAGCAGAAGCTCAGGCTCTGGCAGGGGAAAGAAGCGGATGGTTCATTTCCAACCTCTACTCCTGGAAAGGTTTCTGATACGTCTCAACTCTAGATATATCATCCGAAATATTGTTCTTGATGCTGACTTGCTTTTTCTTGGGTTATCTGTAACTTTTCCATACTCTAGGTTCCACGGCATGAGCGCGGAGAGCTAGAGCGTTTAGAGAAGCTCATGAATAAGTATGAGAGGGGGCAGATCCAAAGCATTGATTGGCTGGATCGACTTATGTTGAAATCCTTGGATACTATCAAGGATCAAGAAAGCTCCAAACATGGAAGCTCACATCTGTTCGTGGTTATTGATTTCTGTAGTTTTGAACATCGAGTTGTATTTCAGGTGCAATATTTACTGCAATTAGATCTGTCTGTGACCTTTTTTATATATTCAAATATAAAAATGTCTCCATGTATGTCTTGCAATATTGAAATGACCAGTGGATTTATGTCTCTCTGCTTTTGATTTCAAGGAGTCTGGAGCCAATTTGTTCATAACTGCCCCAATAGGTTCAACAAATGAATTTGTTACCGTCTGGGATACAGAACTGGGAAAGACTAATCCTTCAGAGAACAAACAACTAAAGCTGGCAAGGAGCTTGGATCGCGGCATTATCGACAGGGATCTAAAGCCAAGTAATATCGAGCGGAAGTAAGTGTGGAACTCTGTTGGAATGAATTTTTTTTTTGGGTTGAATTGGAGTTGGCATTCTTCAGGGAAACAGTTTCCTGTCACTTCATAATCATATATTATTATGATATATAGTCGCATACAGTCTCATGGTTAAGTGATGTATTCTTGTTTTCTTTTTTCTTTTTTAAAGGTCCATACAAAGAGTTTTGAAATATCCGCCAACAAGGACATTGAGTGGAGATGAAAGACAACTTCTTTGGAAGTTTCGTTTCTCTCTAATGTCTGAAAAGAGAGCTCTAACAAAGTTTCTTCGCTGTGTGGAGTGGAGTGATGTTCAGGTACGTGTACATCTTTTACGTGTAGATCTATTTTCATGGTTTTTATTTTTTTCATGTTGCATGAGCTTCCCATGTTGCCAGGAAGCAAAGCAAGCAATTCAACTGATGTACAAATGGGAAATGATAGATGTATGTGATGCTTTGGAGCTATTGTCTCCTCTATTTGAGAGTGAAGAGGTACTACGAGTGTCCAATTTTACTTTTCTTCTACTCTTCTAATTCTCCACTCGATCTGCTAGTCTGTCATCTTGGTATACTTAAATGTAGGCTAATTCTTCACTACACCTACTGATAGGTTCGAGCTTATGCTGTGAGTGTCCTGGAAAGAGCTGACGATGAAGAGCTTCAATGTTACTTGCTTCAACTGGTTCAGGCTCTCCGTTTTGAACGCTCCGATAGATCTTGTCTTTCTCAATTCCTTGTACAGCGGGGTATGTGCTGAACATCTAGACATGAAATCATGTTGAGTTTTCTATGTAAAACTGGTTTATATATTTGTTACATTGCCTGACTTCCATTACATTTCGTTCAAAATTCTAGCATTACAGAATATTGAGTTGGCCAGTTTTCTTCGTTGGTATGTTGCTGTGGAACTTCATGACCATGTCTATGCCAAGCGATTTTACAGCACATATGAGTTACTTGAGGAGAATATAATCAAGGTGTGGACCTAATCTCTATATACCCCTTTTCTTTCCCTGTTTTCTTTTCACTTAAGATTAGTTAAATACATAGATCAATCTTCCTCCTGCCTCTGCTTTTTTTGTAAAGTCAGATTGCAAACCTTTTGAACCTGGGATATGTATTCGATGTTAACAGTGTCAGGTTGTTCGGATTTTTGTCTGTTGAAAAGCTAGTGTATGATGCAGTGAATATAATACGATAGTCCTTACTTTTAGTTAGAGGAGTTAGTGGTTGTCCAAGAATGATAAACAAACTGCTGAAGCTACTTATGCAGGGTTGTGTAGCTACAGTATACCACCTTACGTTGTTATGCAGGGTTGTGTAGCTACAGTATACCACCTTACGTTGTAATTCTTGAGACAAGGAATTGAGTTGCTTTCTACATCAAGTGAGATCTGTTTAGCTGATCTAGACTGATATTTGCTTTGATGTCAGCTGCCACCTGGTGTTAACGGCGAAGATGGATATCAATTGTGGCAGAGTTTGGTGCGCCAAACAGAATTGACTGCTCAGTTATGTTCCATTACACGAGAAGTGAGGAATGTACGTGGAAACACCCAGAAAAAAATTGAGAAGCTCAGGCAGCTATTAGGTGGACTCCTTAGCGAACTTACCTACTTTGAAGAGGTACTTTCTTTATGGTTTAATTGGGTAACTAATACCTTTAAATGTGATGTTTATCCAAGAATGTCTGAGTCAAGTTTCTCAAACCCTTTTGTATTAATTTTTGGATTTTTTTTTTCTTTCAGCCTATTCGATCACCGCTTACCCCTAATGTTCTCATAAAGGGGATTGTGGCAGGAGAATCAACACTCTTTAAAAGTGCATTGCATCCTCTGCGCCTTACATTCCGAACACCAGAAGAAGGAAGTTGCAAATTAATATTTAAGAAGGGAGATGATCTCCGGCAGGACCAACTGGTATATTTAGGTTCATTACTTCATAGTATCTGTATTTTTTGTGTATGTTGTGATTTTTTTAATTTACTCCATAGGTTGTTCAAATGGTTTGGCTCATGGATAGATTACTTAAGCTGGAAAATCTTGATCTGTGCCTAACGCCTTATAAGGTGTTAGCAACTGGACATGATGAAGGAATGTTGGAATTCATACCATCCCGTTCTTTGGCTCAGGTACAGTATCAGTGCCTAAACCCATTGCCCCCATGCCTTTGTAGTTTCGACCCTCTCTTATAATTTTGAGAGTAAATAATCTCGTTATCCTATGATATGTGCCTTTGCATGTTCAGATTCTCTCAGAGCACCGAAGCATAACAAGTTATCTGCAGAAGTTTCATCCTGATGAGCATGCGCCTTTCGGGATAACAGCCACTTGTCTGGATACATTTATAAAAAGCTGTGCAGGCTATTCTGTGATCACATATATACTTGGGATTGGAGACAGGTATGGTGCAAAACATGATCCCGTGGTAGTGTATAAAAAGTTTTTTCCAATTTTCATGCTTTATAAACCTTTGAGGTAAATTGTGATGATGGCCTGTTTTTGATATGTAGACACCTGGACAACCTCCTCCTTACAGATGATGGTCGTCTTTTCCACGTTGATTTCGCTTTTATTCTCGGTAGAGATCCTAAACCATTCCCTCCACCTATGAAACTCTGCAAAGAAATGGTGGAAGCCATGGGCGGAGCAGAAAGGTACCTGGATTTGATATAATTCCATGAATATTTTGCTCTGAGAGTAACAGCATAAGACTTGAAATGTTGGCTACTCTGTATTTCTGTGTTGCAGCCAATACTACACAAGGTTCAAATCCTACTGTTGCGAAGCCTACAACATTCTCCGGAAATCGAGCAACCTTATTTTGAATCTGTTTCATCTCATGGCGGGTTCAACTATTCCCGATATAGCTTCAGACCCGGAAAAGGGCATTCTCAAAGTAAGTTTCTTTCACTTTCACCTAAACCACATGAAACCCACTATTCTTCTCCAACCGGATTGGCTCTTGCTTT